CTCTTCCTACGAAAATTCTCTTCCTGTTCCACAAAGACCGCAGACAGACATCGCGTATATTTAACCATAAGTAATATTAATACCCATTTTTGTTAACCGAGAAAAAAAGTGCGGAGTATACTTTATGTGTTCAGTGGGTGGGTTTTTCAGTGGGCGGTGGTTGGGTAATGTGTGTGTAAAATTATTATCCTTCACGCTTAATATGCACAAGCGGAAGCCGTCATTTGTACGCCACGGAGAGATGACGATGACCAAAACCCAGGGCCGCTGGCCATTTAGCATACGCAACTGAGTGTGAGTGTGGGTATGAGTGTGAGTGTATCCTGGTGTCATTTTTTTCCTTTCATTTTTTAGTCCGGCGTTTTTTATATCATCGTCCTAGTCATCGTCTACTTATGTGCCACATGCTTCGCTCTGCACTAAAAAATATATATTTTATAAAAAAAATAATGTATTTTACTTAAATCGTAGGGTAAATTTTTCTAATAAGCTTTTGTGTATCCTGTATTTGTATTTGCTTTATAAATTTCTTTGATTTACGATCAAACAACTGCTTATTTCTCGCAGTGTCTTCTCCTGCTTGCTACGTGAGCCGCTGTCCGTTGTCCAAGGGAGCGCGTGTCCTTACAAAATTAGTGCTCTTTTACATTCATATGCACACATGCATCTATCCCAGATATATATATGATTTTTTTCACAATACTCGTACATTATTTTCGGTTGTACATTTAGCATGGGCTAAAAAAAATTTGGAATAAAAAAAATTAAAATATAAAAGGAGGAAGGGGGATAGCTCCTCTCCCGCGGACAAACGGACAAGCGGACGAGCGGACAGCAATCGCAACGCTGATATATAATATTATATTTTTTTGCAACTGTTTGTGCCACTTTGGCGGAAGTATCGCAGCGACATCAGCACGAAAGGACCCCCAAACCCCCCTTAACCCCTTGTTGACCGACCCACACCACTGCTTTTTTTCAGCACAGGACACTCTCGAGCTTTATGCGTTTTTTGTGTGTTTAGCAAAGCATAGAAAAGTGAGCGTATAAAAAATTGAAACCATTTTCTCATATTAAATGTGTGCCGACCGAAAAGAAGGCGTTGGGTGGGGTGCGTGGGCAAAGGGGGCGTGGTGGCAGCAGCAGTTAATAATGAGCGTAGCGCCCCCTAACGGACAGCGTTGGCATCTGGACGCAAACATCTAAGAACTTCAGGGCAAGCAGTTCTTGAAAAACGATCATAAAGATGATTGAAATTTAAAATTGTTATAGGTTTTATAAAATATAATTTAAGGAATTAAAATGATATCCCAAATAAATAAACTTTGTTACTTAAGAACCATACTTATAATTCGTAAAAATGTACTAACATTAACCTTTGCAATTTTTTTTTATTTATATGTTTATAATATTAAAACCATATATGTTTTTAGAAATTAAATAGTAGATTCTTGAGGAGCTTTTTATTTATAAGGTAGAAGATATTTATAGCCTGAAAAGCTTTATAATTCTAGGTTTTCCATCCTCTTTTTTCCTGTATAAGCTCATATCCGTTTCCTGTTTGTAGGCAACGTAACGCTGATCTCTTCGTTTTATTCTTCTGGCAGTCTGGTATTCTTCTCTCCCATTTTGCACTATCCTATCCCTTTGGGTTGACAGTACGTGTTGCCTTGTCACTTTATATATATAAAAAGTATGTATGTACTATATATATCTGAGACACTGAGACTCGCCTGCTGATTATTATTCCGCTGACCGTTTCGTATTTATTTGAAAGGCATTTGCCGCCAGCCACCAGGACACACATATCTGTGTGTGTGTTTTTGTATTTTTTGTATTTTTATCCTGCAGGCGAGGAACAAAACGACATATTCGTCCTGCATAAATGATGTAATTACAGCGCAAGATTTTTGCTATGAGCAATTTTTATTTTAATTTCTTACCCCAACTTTTTCTCTTTCTTCCTCTTTCTCTCCATTACCCCACCCATTTATTTCCCTCTTTATTTCCCCTCCTTGCCCTATATGATGGTATGATGGTACCCTCTGATATGTAAGTACGTATGCTATATAGCACTTGGTCACACACAAGTCTGCCAGTGCCAGCTTGTGAAATATTTTGCATGCTTTTATCATAATTTTAATTAAATGCGCAAATTACTATAGAATTTATATATTCCTTCTTTTTTTATTTGTTTGTGTGCGCTTCTTTTTATAAAACCTTTGACTGAAAATTGAGATTAATATTAATGATTTTCCTTAAGGATTTTTCTAAAACTGGTAGATATGAAAAACGTAAAAAAAAATCTCAAACAATAATTTTTGAAAAATATATAAAATTGTTTTTATTTACAGCAGGAACTTATGTTTTTTTTTTTGATTTTGTATGCCATATCGCTCTGTGTGATTTTTTATTTTCTTGACCACAAATGTTCTCTACCCCATTTCAAAGTTGACTTTCTGCTATTTATTTTGACCAGTCAAAGTCTCGAATAATATCAACAAACAAGTGCTTACTTTTCCCACCTTTTTTTTTCTTCGTTGGATACCCTTTTTTGTTTTTTCTTTTTTTTTGAATGGAACGCTGATATTTTATGGCCCCAAAACGCGACCCCAAAAATATCAACCCACCTGCCAAACAGACTCTAATGCATTTCTAACATGGGTTAAAGGTGAAACGGGAAACGGGAGAAAAGGGGGCGGTGCGATTTGTTGACACAGCCAACGCCGCAAAAACATTGGCGGGCGTGTTAAATGAAATGAAAAGCCAAACGCGCGACCGCGAAAATCAAACAACAATAAAAAATAAACTGAGGGGGAAAACCGCAGAAAGGTAGCTGCCAACAACAACAACAAAACTGGACCTGGGAAATTGCGATGGCAGCAGAAACAAAAAACAACAACAACACACACTCGCACAAATACATAAGCAAAATCAAGCGAAACAAATTGTAGTTAAACCCAATTTGTAATTTGTTTGGCAAATCGCTCGAATGGCGGTAAAAGAACAAAAGCACCAAGAAAAAACAAAAAAAATTTATATTTATAAATAAATTTGTTTTTTTTTAATATTTATAAGCTTAAAACAAGAAACACATGTTATTGAAATATTTTTAAGAAAATAATTTTTCAAACAACTTATACATTAAATGTATTTTGGGCCTAACATTGCAAAAAATGGTCCGAATACGGAGTGTCATACCTCGTTGAGCTCGTTATTTTATTTTCAATCGATTGGCATTCAAATCGAGAAATGTATAATTTTTGGCATTTTTTGCAAAAAATCATGATGTTACCCCTTTAAAAAAATTTAAAAATTGACAAAAATCTTATTTCTTTAAAATCCCACGGAAAGTGTCATAAATTGATTTATTAATTTGTTATCTGTTCAAAACAGTATGCTTTTTTGGCGTGAGACCATTTTTGGCCAAGTTACAGCAAAGAAATTAAAATTTTTAACAAAAATCTAGATCCCAATTTTCCACGCATAAATAATAAGTTTTTTGCCGAAAATTAAAATATAGATTCAAATATGGATTGTCATACCTTTCTGAACAAGTTATTAAATTTCCAATAGATTGGTATTTAAACCCGGACATTTTATTTTTTGCCCATTTTTCGCAAAAAATTATAATGATGATTTCAAAAATTCGAAAATTGATCAAAATATAAATTTCCCTGAAAGTGATGGGGTTCGTTAGTTTAGGTTGTTAGCTGCTTAAAAGAGTCATTCTTTTAGATGTGATCCTCGATTTGTCTAAATTGTAAGTTATTGAATAAATATAATCAACATAATTTTTTTCTCAGTGCTCCAATATAGCAACAGCAACAAGAAAAGCCACAAAGCTAAAAACAGCTAACGGGTAAACGGTAAACCAGCGACCGCCTGAATCCTGAATCCTGTATCCTGAATCCTTTCCCCCAGCTTTTGTGTGTGTGTGTGTTGTCGCGATGAGAAACGTGCCGATGCATAATCATTGAGGCCATTATCATTTATTTCACTCAAAGGTGTCGTTGCCGTTTCGCTTCCGTTTTGCGCCATGTGCCACCTGCAAAAATCAAAAACACACGCACCACTTCGCCAACAGAACGGAAGTAAAAGAAAGTCAAGCTTAGCTAATGCCGCAATACTTTGGGCCTTGAATGCAAGATCAAACTTTTCAAATGTTGTTAAAAATTAAAAAAAATATATATATATTGATAGGAACATAGAGAAAAAACTGGGTAAATCTAAATATTTAAAAAAAAGGTGTCTAAAGGTATGCTATGATTCTTTAATGTGATTTAACATCTTGGGATATTTCTTTAAAAAAATTAAAAACCAAACCCAAAGTCTAGAGACCCAAGCATTTAAGGCTTTCAAATCGTTTGGTGCAAAGCAACCTTAAAATCCGCCAACGATTAGCAAATAACCCAGCAACAACAAAGCAGCGGCGATTTTACAACCGCATCCACAGCAAACAGCGGACAAACGGCGTCCTGTGCCTGGAAATTTATGAACCCAAATACCATGGTATGGTATGCCCCCTCAACCAAACCAAATCCCCCATACCAACCTATCACCCTCCTTTTGTGTGTGTGAACTGCGCTCGCGATTTTTGGCCTATTTGTTTAGGTCAGAACTATAAAAATCTAACAAACTATAGCGTAATGAAATCAAAATAAAACAGAACCCACATTTCCCCTCGCATAAGTCAACACAAAAGGACATGGAATATGGGGAACCAAACCATAATCTAGCATAGTATTGTCCTTATAAAAAATTCCAAAACCATTAAAAGTTACAACACAAAAAACCTTTCCAAAAAGCCTGGAAAAAATCATGAAACACACAATTTTTTTAAAATAGACTTAAAAAAGATGTACAATTTTTTTCATTTATATTACAAAAGAAATATTTTTTGTTCTCAGCTCGATATATTCCCAATAAACGCAGATGCCCTAGCGATAGACGCTAGTTGATTATTTGATTGTCAAAGCCCTTAGTGCCGGAGTTTCGAATAGAATTCAGTTACATCTGGCTCGGTAAACAGAAAGCAACCAAAAAAATTAAAGAATACATTTCTTTACTTATATATATTTTCTTCTATACGAAATTTCGCAACCCAACTCCGTTCAAGAAAATCCCGGAGTGTTTTTATACCATAACTGCCATGGCGATGAAGATGATGAACCGAAACCAGAACCAGCTGAAGATGAAGATAAACTACACCCATTTTATGGTCGAGCCCATTTTCCCAGTGCCGCAAATGTCGTCGGCAACTTTGAAGGCTCGTCGGGCCGTCGTCGAATCATATAGAGGTCCCCAAATTGCTCCCGATGATGCCATGCTCCCAATGCCGCCGCACAACAGGGCCCAGAGTATGGGTGAGATTCTGCAGGATCTTCGGCAGAGAGTCAAGAATCTGAAGCTCTGGCCTCGGGCCATTCGTCTGCTGAAGAGACGAGTCTAGTCTTATCAATTCGATATAGCAACTATCTCTATTCCATTCTCAAAATCCCCATTAAACAAGTTCGCATTGTGTTCGATTTTGGGTTCCACAAATCGTTAGTCCCCTAAAAATCGATCACATGACGTCGTCTTAAATATATATGTTCCGAAAATAATTACTTTAAAAGTGTTTCTTTGGTATTCTGAAATTTTCAGATCTAAAAACATTACATTAACACACGTTGAGCAATTTAAATGTATTAAGAGTGGAGTTGGGACATCTGGATCCCAGGCCCAAATCGCAAAAGGCCGCCACTGCAAACTGGAACGACAACAATAGCGAAAAAATTAAATTCCAACATTAAAATAAGTTTTTAAAACTAAGCAACGCGGCGGCTTATGTCACATACACACAGAGAGAAAGACACAAAACAAAGCGGCAAAAAAAGAACCACAGGACAGACGGCATTTAGAATATAAATTTAGTTAAACAAATCTCGGACGAGGCGGCCTCCCCAAGGTACACGAATGCAGCCAGAGTTGCTACCGTCATGTATGAGTTTTCTGGCAGGAGAGGAGCTGCGCTGCAGGAAAATGGATAATCTTTTGCATTTCTCTATTAATTTACTATATTTTTAGGAAATATCTTACCTTATATTTTAGAAACGAAACTGAGTTTTAATGCAGCCAGAGTTGCCACCTTCATGTATGAGTTAGATAAGCTGTTGTTGTTCTCTATTATTTGTTAATTTATCTAAAAATTTAAACAAAATCTTCGGTTTATTAATATATAATTTATTAATACAAATAAGGATCGCCAATTAAAATATCGCTCGTTTAATATACCCTGCCAAACCCAGAAGAACTCGAATTCCCAGACTGTAGGGCATTTTAAAGCAAAGCTTTCGACCCCCAGACCCCCAAAGTGCATTTCGTTCGTTTTAGGGTTAGGGTTAACCCTCCACTGCCCCGCGACCTCTCCTTCGGCCTTTTCTTGTTCTGCTTCTTTATCTTTTTGCCATGTAGGCTTCTCTGGCTCGTATTTCCCACCCCGCCAACCGCTGACAAACGTCAAAATATAATTTTTGCGTGGATTTGCGTTGGCCCAACAACAACAGCAACAGTAATAAATGTCAGGGGGTTTGAAACCCCCACCAAAAATGGAGGAAAAAAAAAGTGAAACAATTTTTGCAACTGCTGCCTGCTTCTTATCTCAGGCACGTTAATGTGGCCTATGTGGCCATGTGGGGGAAGGGTTGCCGTTGCCAGCATTGCATGTCCTACTGTGAGACATAATTTTTAATAATCTACAACACAGCCCGGCCACAAACGGGGAGGCGCCCGAAAAATACGCGCATGCAAATGGCTTAATTTAATATATAATTATACCCTGACAACGCAGCAAGGAGTCCACAAAAGAAGATAGGGCTATATTAGCTAGGGATCGGATATATATTTTATATTTTTAAAAATCTTCAGGGCCTCTCTCTCAACGTTTTCATGGGTTTCATGCCTACCAGCGCCCTTCTATGCGATTCTCAAACTTCTTAGGTAGGTCGCTAAATTCGAAACGGAATACAAAACATATTCAAGTGAATTTTCTTCTGGATATATGCTCTAAATTAGAGCATTCCATAGTCATCCAATGTGTGTTAATCCCCTGACGCCCACTACGGGAGTGATTTCCTCGGTTTTCGGCTTGTACACCTTGTCGTGGTGGCTTTTTTATCTGACTCCGAAGGTTGGCCAAAAAGGTGTTAAGACCAAGATGCCATCCATATACGTACACGTATGTGGAAGATTGTCTTGTCTAAGCTCCAGATTGATGCCGCCTTTGCCGCAAAACTCAATCCCAGAGCTGTAATTAAATTATCATGCCAGGAGCATAACGCCGCCTTACCTCCGCCTTAACCCCTCGCATGTGTTCGGGGGTGTTGTAATTCAAACAGGAGCCAACGCAACGGGTTAACATTAGCGCACTTTTATGGCCTTCGCCGGATAAGTATATGTCCTTTCAGCCCAACTCCCCCGCATCGCCATTTGAGCTTCTCTTTTTTCTATGATTAGCTGCTAAATTTATGCCAGCCGCAAAGGAGTTTTGCGGCAAGCAGTTAAAACAGCAATAGCCCTGCAATGCCTATTTATCTGGGGGAAAAACCAGTAGCTGAATGAAAAAGTATAAACTTCATCATATATTTTACCAGCAGATGAGTCTATGAAAAAATTTAGATAAATTTGATTAAATATTTTGAATAAAAATGGTGGAAATATTTATATTTTTGTAATCTTTAATAGCTGATGATGCGATAAAAAATGGCCACCTTGGTGGAAATATTCATTTATTTTAATCCTTTATAGCAGATGAGTCAGTGAAAAATATTTTAAAATATTTTAATAATATTTTAAATGCTAAAAACCTTTTCTAAACCTAACAAAAGCTTTGCTGATGAGCACCATCTTGGTCTTAAAATATTCATATATTTGAAAACACCCAAGTTCTCCTTCGATCTGAATAACACCGGTAAATATACAGATACGATCAGGCTCCAGTCGCCCGTTTATTTAAATGAAAATCCAGTAAAAAATAAAAGAAGAAAAAGGGGAAAAGCGCGGTGGGTGGCTTTTCCATCTTGGACAGCAGCTGTTGACCAAATGTGGACTTAGGACGTGCTTTTAATTTTTAAAAACTGCTCTTAAAACGCGATAAAACACGTTGAAATGGCAAATAGCGGATGGAGGAGGGTGGAGTCTAAAAAAATCAAGCGAAGGAGAGTAAAAGATGGAAATTAGTGGAGGAGACGACGAGAAGGCGAGTTACATATGTACTTAGCCAGTTACATGTGTGTGTTTCTGTGTGATATATATATTTTATTCATATGGACACACACAACCCACACACGAGAAAATCCCAAGTTGGGGAAATAAAAAATATGGTAAAAAAAATGGGGGCCAGAGTGGACAGTGCATCTGAAAAAAATGTGTAAAGCGTGCATTTACATAATGAAAGATGTAGCAGTGCAAGTGTGTGTGTTTTTTTTCCACAGTATATGTGAGGCAAAAGGATTAGCGATGGTCGTCATGTGCGTGGCACAACCAAAAAAAAATAAAATAAAAATAAAAAATAGGGGGAAGGAAAAAAATTAAATTATAAAATATTGAAGCGAGTAAGAAATGCGCAGAAGGGACAGAAAGGCGACAGCACTGCTTGCTAGCACACCCACAAAGGCACTAGAAAAAATAGGAGAACACCAATCACCACTTTAATAATATTAAAAAAATATTTAAATAATTATATAATAATAATAATATTCTGTAATAAAATAATATATTTTAAAAATAAATGATTTGGTGATATTTATAGTCGCTTCGTCACTATGCAAATTCTCTATCCCAAATTTTTTTTAACATAAAAAAAAACGATTTTGTTAAAAAAAAAATTTTGTAAATATTTTTAAAAAGCCCAGCAAACAAATATTTTTCTAGTGCAACCAAAATTAATGTCCTTTTAGATACAAATGCAATTTATAAGAGCTCGTGTGTGTGAGGGGTTCCGAAAAATGCTTTCACATGGCTTCCATCGCCCACTCAACCCCCCTCTTTTTATATTCTTATACATTCTTTTTTTCGCCCAACATAATTTTGAATAGCATTAAAATTATTAGCTACAAATGAATAAAAAACGAAACGGAAAAAGTGAGGGAAAAAATTAGTGAGAAGGACTAGAAGTAGAGGAAAGAAATGGGCGTACGTACGTACCATCATATCTTCCTAAGTCCCCCCATTTGGAAACCCCCTAATTTTTTGCCGTTTTCCCGCCCAGCAACAAATGCGCATAATGAGCTCTGGTCAGCCAGCCTAGACGACGGCCGTGGGAGGTTGCCATCGCAGAGATTTACGCGCGACAAGTTTTTCTTGCCCTTTTCCACAACGTAATTCTTTTCGAATGCCCTATCTATAGGACTGGGAATTCGAACTGCCACTTGGTAACGTTGTAAAAAAGTATCTTTAATATCTAAAAAAGCCCATTAAATAATAATAAATCATATTTTAATTAATGTTTTTAAACGTTACTTTATTTTTCAACTAACTTACAATTTAAATATTACTTCAGAGCATTAAGCACTTCGCCCAAAAAACCATATCCTATTTTAGTAACCATTTTTTTGTAGTCTCGCAACATCCAGCTAAACACTTTTCAGTTGATATCGCAAATCCTTTTCGCTGGCGCTTACATAATGATATGTGGCCGCAGATGCCAAGTGAGGGAAAAGCAAAAAAAATATATATAGAAAAAAAGAAATTAAAATAAAATAAAAAATGAGTGGAAAGGAAGTACCGTCTGCTTGCCTTTTTGCATTTGCATGCAATTTGCGCAAAAAATGCGGAGGAGGAAGCCTTCCTTCGATCTGATGAAATAAAAACGCTGACTGTAGAACTACATCTATAATTTAAGTACCACACTATCATATTACATTTAAAATCCCATAAATAATACCACATTTTGCGTATTATTAAACGTACATTTTAAAATCAGTTTTATTCCGTTATATCATGCTTGCTGTATTGTGTAATATATCAGTTAAACGTAACTCTTAACTAGGCAATAAAAAAAAAATAGAATCGATTAAATGACCGTAATATATGATATTAATTATTATGTAGCTCCACTTAACAGAGTTGCATTTTTCCTTCATGTTTTTTCAGAGTTGCATTTGATCCTCGGCCAGCTGTTTGGGCCTTCGCTTCCGGCGCTTTCGAGCCTTTCGTCGCAGACGATCGAACTTCCGGATCCGGTCGCAAATGAAGTGCTTGAGGTCATCGCCCTCGGCGGCCGATTGCCGGCTGCACGACATGGTGAATAAAATTAGCGAGTTAAGGTAGAAAAAGAATCTTATATCGTAGTCATCCATCGATTGTTTGGAGCCCTTGGATCGATGATTTTTATCCTTTTTGTGATCCCTTTGTTGCTCCTCCCTTTCCCTCTCCTTTTGGTAATTACTGAAGTTGTGCTTGCGCAACTTGGAGGCGGGATATGAGGTGGCCAGGGGATCAAAGGGTTCAAAGGTCGAGCGCTGGCGCTTCGAACCGCTTATCAGGTGTTGCCGTAAATAGTCGTAAATGCTCATGTTCCTTATAACGATGGTGTTGGTGGTGTTGCTAATGGTAGTTATCATCGGTCCCGATTTATGCGGCGCCACATGCTGTAGATTAAGCCAACTGCCGCCTGCCGCCTGCACGCGAGTTGGCAACGATTGGGCCAATATTTTAATATTACTTCTATTGGCCATCATCGTTGTCGTTTTAAATGTATTTAGCATTGGCTCATTGGTGTTATTGCTGCCGATGTTGTGGCATCGGTCGGTTTCTTCTTGTTGTTTTGGTTCTTGATTTGAATAATCATCATGATTATAGGTATAAGGATATAGATTATGTGGGGCTATGGATTTTATTTTGATTTGTGTTTTTGTGTGATCTACAGCAGTGACTGCACCCCGTCAATGATCGGCCACCAGCGGTCCCCAGAACATCTTCGATATCTTCGAGTCGTCCTCGGTTAAGAAGAACTGGCGGCCCAAATGCACAAACTCCTTGAGCGACAATTGGCCATCGCCGTTCTTGTCTATCACAGCGAATGAAACGGCAGCGTCGTCTTCGGTCAGTCCCAGACAGCGGAAGAAGAGCTTGTATTGTTCGAGATCCAAGTGGCCAGTGTGATCGAAGTCCACAGCCTGAGGGGGAGAAATAAAATATAATCAAATAAATATAATATAATAGGGCAGTGTTTTTATAGAATCTAACAAAAATTTCTAAAGAATTCGCGTTTAAGTGCCATAACAATAAGTGATCAAAGAACTTGTGACACGAATTCTTCAGTATTTTCATTGAGTTTAAGGAGAATGCTAAAGAATTCGCGTTTGAATGTTATAACATAAAGTAATCAAAGAATTTATTGCGTGAATTCTATAGGTTAACGTCAGCCTAACTTCAGGTTAAACAAACCTTAAACAAATACGGCAGGAAGCGACCGATGCGTTTGGCCATCTTCTTGTCGTTGAGACGATGATGCAGATCGGTGAGAAACTGCTCGGCAGTCACCAGATTGTAGGGGGTTATCTCCCCGAACTGCTCCTCCCACGTATGCTTGATCACATCGTTGAACTCGGCGGCCACCTCGGGGGTCAAATGGCCCAGATCGTTGAAGCGTTTGGCCAGCAAACTGAAGTCGTCGAACGAGACGACCCCGTCGTGGTTCACGTCCAAAATGCGATGCAGGGTGCGCATTTTGCGGCGCCAGAAGGCCGAGTCGCCCTAAAAATTTAAAGAATAATTTAAAATTAATTTTTGTTTAATTTTATAAAAGAAATATTTATATGTTTGAAACTTAAAAACACAGGACTTTTTACAAGCTCTTTTATAAACTTTGAACTGCTTTGTTGCTTTTTAAAACGGCTTGTAAAGGACTTTTAACTTAAAGCCTGATAATTCTTTTGAGAACTGCTTGCTTGAACTGCTTTTACTAAATACGTTGTGAGCTTTTGAGCTTCCGAAGGACATGGCTAAACTGCTTGTGTGCTTTTGAAGGACTTTTAAAGCTTTCACTGAACTGCTTTAAAAGGACTTCAGATAACTGCTTGCTTACATGTAAAATCCACTGCTTTAAGCTTACAAATACTTGAAATACTTTTGAAGAGAAAACTGTAATGCGGTATTCATAAGTCCGAACCAGAGCTTTGATCTTAAAATAGCCCGCGATTACAACCGGTTGGCACTGCTAACTGACCACTGTTAACCAGGTTACAATGTTAGACTATTTTAAAATACCTCAAAAAGCAGGTTCAAAAAACGGCATTGAGCACACGATAACCAAAATTTCGAAACACGTTTCTGGGCTTGTCAATTGAAAATGAATCAGCCACGTGGAGGCGTGTTTTTTTTTTTTTTCTGAGTATCTTTTATGGGTTATATATATGGTTTTTCAAACAGTTCACTCACCCGTTCGCTGCGCTTGGAATCCATTTTCTGGCGACGTCGCTCGAACTCATCGTCCGAATCGGAATCGCTATCACTTTCCACCTCCCGTCGCAATTTGGCCGCTCCGGCGGATTTCTTGGAATATTGACGGACAGCCTGGACCACGGCCGTGGGCATTTGATGCCACAGCAGTGAGTGTTGTGCTCCATGTCCACAGATGTTGCCACCAGTTGCCAGAAAGAGGCGCTGAAATCGGAGGATAATAAAGGATAATAAAGTAAATTTATTTTTAAAGTAAAATACTGAAGCTTAATTCAATTATAATTATTTTTAGTATTTTTGTGCGGTTCTTAAAATCCCATTTTTAATAAAAGAATTACTGAACATTTTACAAGTTTTGTATAATCTAAAGAAAATATAATATAATATTTTCAAAATTATGTTACAATAATAAAGGCCTTTACTCTAAACCCTATAATATTACCCAATATCTTTGCTGTTGGTTTATTTATTTTGGTTTCTATAACCCCATGCTAAAGATCTTTTTGTTGTTATTCTTGATACGGTTGCTATATGCCCTTCGCCCCATAAGCAATCATTATGTTTTTTTAATTACAACTTAGCGCACTGCTGGTTTTCCTCTCTTATTTTTGTTTTGCTTGTTGTTTTCCCAATGGTTAAGGTCAGTTCTGTTTACATACAAATAAGAATTCTAAACCCGATTCGTTATCTGTTTTCCTACGAGTATTTCCAACTTTTGTCTGCCACAAAAAAGTGCCGCGAATGACTGTCAAAAAATGGGTCTTTGAATTCTTGAAATTCATTTTACAGTTTGAGAGGCTCTCGGCCGTAGTAAAAATAAGAAACCACGTGGCGATCATGTAACCAAATAAATAGAAGAAAATGGAAGCCAGTTGGGAAAAGAATGGGTGTATTATGGAAAAGTTACTTAATTGAATATACAATACATAAAAATAGAATAGTATTTTAAATGTAATTAAAGAACAGGAAACTAAAAGATATTTTTGGAAAAGCTTAAGAAATGTTAAAGTAAAATATTGCCACAATGAAAATCAAAAAAAAAAAAAATTAGATGCCAAAAACCAGTTCGGAGAAATGTTTTTCCCATCATCTGTTCCTCCGACAGCTTCTGTCAATGTCATTTAAACAAAAAAAACAGAGATAAAGAGTTTGCCTCTTTTTTAATTACAAAAAACCGAAGAAGAACACTCTTGTAAACGTTTTGAATTTCAATGGCCCACTCGATAAGAAGGCATCCGAGACTACAGATGTTGCCAGCCACCGACGACGACGAGCCGACGATGATATCATACCATATAATACCATTATCATAAAGCCCGCACACTTATTGTATTGGACTGTTTTCGGAACCTTTTTCGGTTCCAGTCGCTTCGTTTTGGTTAAACGAACTTTGGATTGTTTCTTTTTTTTTTGGTTGGATTTTTCGTAAACAAGTTTCTCCTAAAAAAACGAATTAATGAATGCGAAAAAACGGGCCTCCTTTCATTTAAATGTCTGCGCGTCTCGAAAACAAAAAGAAACACGTTTCGAACATAAGAAAAAAACAAAAAAAATACTAATGATTTAGGTAGAAGATGCAGAGAGTCGGCAAATAAATATCAAAGTCGAGCAACAGGTCAATGTTAAACAGCAGAAACCAAAAACAGGGAAAATTGCGAATAAAAACATTCGAAATCCATCACGAAAAGCACTTCCTGTGATTCTAAAACTTTAGTTTTTGGGGGAGGAAGTCTCTTCCTCTTCCTTTGTTATTATTCCCAATGCTTTTGCGCAAGATTTTCCTGCCACAGAATTTGCGCAGTTTTCCGACTTTCGAAACGAGGGGGGTTGAACGGAAAACTTCATCGGCTTTCACCTGAGTACACAGCGGGAAAATACCAATAAATATCTTGTGTTGCCATAGCTGGTTACACATTAAATTGAGTCAATATCTATCGTCAGCATAATATCATAAATTTCGTTTCGAAACCTAAACATTTATGCAAATATACATAGTTTACAAATATAAGCCGGCATTGTCAAAGATAACAAAAATATTATAATAAAATAAACCCGCGACTTTTTTTCTGTGTAATTTTCTTTTGTTTGCATTACTGTTTTTTGTTTTGTTTATTTTACTGAGGGAAATGCGTCTTTCGGCGCCTGTTTCCAAATTTATTATTGATTGATTAAATTGCTGCGCCCTTTAATGATTGATCTTTAAGAGATTGGCTATTAATTTTATAAATTTTTCCCTCAATCATCAATAGAACGAAAAAAAAATAACGAAAATTTATTGAGGCCGCTAGATAATAATTCTAAAGTCGGCATTTTAAGATATAAAACTCGGCTTCTATCCATTTAAAATGAAAATAATTTATTTGAACTTTAATTTGTCATCACAATTTTATAAATCCAATGGCTATATCTCGAGATATACTTAATGGTAAAGTAAAGTTAATACTTCGAGTTCTTACAGTTTGTGAGCCACTGGCCTCGTTTCGTGAACTTCCCTCTCCCATTTTCCATTCTCCCTTTTCCCCTGCCTGTCTTTATTCCCGCTCTGCATACATTTTCCTTCTCCCCCCTGTTTTCCGAATTGCGATTCTATTTCCCTGTTTTGTTTTGAGTTTTTTTCTTGTAGAAGCTGTTCTTAAGGAATGTTTTTAAAAACCTGGGATTGAACTCGTTTTTAGAGGAATATTTTTGAACAATTCTTTTTGTATACTGTTTTTAAAACCCCCAGCTTTGAGTACTGTTTTTTCTAAGTCCCGTTTGTTTGATTTCTGAGCTCTTCTGGTAATTGAATTAGAGTCACTTAAAACTGGCGCACACACTGAGAGAAATTAGACTTACATGGCAATCGCTGTGCGAAATGGGCGTGTTTGGGGGCGGGGAGGCGGTCTGCTGCAGAACGCCGACAGTTGCGGCCATGTTGCGTTCTAGAATTTCTCTCGAAGTGCGCAAAATACCACGGCTCACAATCGAGAATGCCATCTTGTTTTTTCTTTGAGTTCAAATACTCTCTTGATTTTCTTAAATTTTTCCTCAAAATTTCGCTTCTTTTTCCTACAGTTTGAACTGCACTCCAGAAAATGTGCAACGTTGCCTTTTTTTTAGGGTTTTTGTTGTTGTTGTTTAACTCTTTTCGTTGTTTTTAGTGCAGCGCGCATTTAACAACCGGTTTTTTGTTTGGAAGATGCACCACAAAAAAATGTTTTCTTTATTTTTAGTCCGCTTTAATTTAGTACACACTTTTATTGTATTGGTAACTTATTTTTCGATTTCTCTGGGTTTTGAGTTTTTTGAATAATGTTTTTTTTTTCGTTTTGCTTGGGAGGAAACACAACCGTTCGCTTAAGCGTTCGAATTCGTTTTGAAAACCATCGCTGCGCAAAGAAAAGAAGTCGACGTCGACGCCTGTAATGGCAGAGCGGTCTTTCAAAGTGTGTGTGAGCGGGAGTGCGAGTGTGTGTGTGTGAGTGAAGGAGATGGCAGCATAAGAAGGGTGCGGGGACAACAACAGCTGCTACTTGGAATTGTTGCCAGAAGCAGACAATAATACCACAACTGCGGCCAAAATAATAGTAAATAGTTACATATTTGTTAAAAAAAAATACAAATTGTTATTCCTATGTTAAATAAATTGGTTAAAAATAAACGTTTATACCTTAATTATGGTAGATTTTAGTGTTAAAGGAATGTATTTAGGAACTCAAACAAGGAATATTAATTTTTAACCATTGCTCTTTAAGTTGCCTAAATAAAATAAATAAAAATGCAACAGAAAGAATTGGGTTTCCCATTTTTAAGCTTGTAAACTTATGCATTTTGGTTATAAAATATAAAGATAAATAAGAAATATTTATTTTACCCCACTATTAAAATAAATTTTTAATCATAGGCAACAGTGCGTATGAGTGATACATTTTTAAGACCCTAAAGAATTCGCTTTTTACTTTCTTGTTTCTTTAAATGTGTCCTCAGCTGTATGTAAGTGTACACACACACACAGTTAGACCATGTAAGCCGGTTGAAGAAGAAAATGAAGAAGAAGAAGGAGCATAAGCAGAATCAAAAACAAACAAAAGCAAAACCCAGTGAATGTCAAACCTCGCTTAAATTGTGAATTTTATTCCATTTCATGTGGAACTCCCAAAGGAAAATGCATTACATAAACATGGAGCCACACACACACATTCAAAACAGCTTTTCATTGATAATGTAAACGAAAGAAGACGAAGACAAAAACAAAAACGAAAATTCAAAAACCAAATATCATAAAAAGTGCGTATTTAGGTCGCTGCGTGTGACAAACTGTCGGTCCAATACAATATGCCCCAACTCACTTTTCACCCTTCTCCCCGCTCCCCACCACCCAAAAAGTACCCCCCCATACACACGCACAAATAGTTTCTGTTTTTCCGTTTCTGTTCTACTTCATTGTTCCACTGAAAACGCATGTTTACACACACAGTTGAGGTGAAAATTATAGTTATATTACAAGGATTTACAACACCTAAAATAAAAAAAAATCGCATAATTATTGAAATTTTTCTAGGTTTCAAAATGTACATATGGGCACTTCCAAAATGTCGCTCGGGACATTTGCACACCTTTAAAGTTGATAAAAAATTGTAAAACAATGGATTTTAGTTTTAATTATGGGTTTTTCTTTTCACTCATCCCAAGCTCTATTTTTTTGTAAAAATCTTCATTTTGTACCACTTTTAGTTTTTAAGATATCGGTAAAAAACTGCCGTATTCGCTCGGGACAAAAGTAGAAGTGGATTTCGGGGAAGTTCATACAACACCAGAAATTAGCGAATTCTGATGGAATATTTGAATGCGATTTTTTTTAGAATGTTGTTCAAACATGTCGCTGTGAAATGCTTTTGGTTTTACTTAAAAATTCTTTGACGTTTTTTTTTTATGCAGTTTCAACCACATTCGCTCGGGACATGTCGCTCGGGACATTTTTTCCGACTGTTTTGTAAAGCGGATTTCTTTACCTCTATCTCTCAATTGCTGGATGTTTTGACTTTAACATAATAGTTTAGCATGTGAATGAAGCATTCAGTACAGAAAAATGTCACATATTAGCATTCCTATAGGATAAATTAACAACAGAAGACAGGTCCAAAAAATAACAAAAAAATAGCCAAAAACTGATTTTTGCGTATATTGGTGGGGTTTGTCATAAAAATAATCAAACTATACTCCAAATTTGTAGTTAAGGTCAGTATCCATCTAATTAGAAACTAATATCTGGGCAAAATCATGTGGAAATATGTTTTATTCAAGTTTTAAGGTTTTTGGCTTGGTGGACTTTTTTCTGGAAGTGCCCATATGTAAAACATAAAACTTGTTTATAATTTGAAAATATTTTTCGCAAAAAAATTATTTAGAACCACTAGTAATGGTTCCCCCACTGTAGACACCCATACACACACTTGTTACATAGGTGTATATGAGAGATTGTATAATAGTCTTGATCAAATAGAGCGCCAGTGGACTTGGACCCAAAAAAACATTGCATCGAAAACAAAAACAAAAAAATAACGAGCCCAAAAAGAAAAAAAATTAATGAGGAGGAGTGATTTGAATGGATATATCAGTTGCCGGTGAAAATTAAAGGGACTTATTATCAGCTCCACTAATTCCCGATTATCTTGGTCGCTTTAATCGAATTCGAACTGCCCCATCAAGATCAATGCTTTCATAAAACCCCATCCCCTGAAACAGTTTGGCAAGCACTGGTCCCGCCAAGAAGTGCAACATTTTATGTAGAAAATAAAAAAAAAAATCGAAGGCCCCCCACTTTACCGTATCGAATGCGGCAAACGGAGTGCACTGCACTCTGCGGAGGCAAAAACTTGGAAATACAGACAGAAAGCCGAAACATGTGAGCTGGTCGGGAAATTTCCAAAGCGGTTTATGCGAAGGTGAAATCACGATATCTTCAACGTAAGCCGGTTGTAAAGATTATGGAATTTTGTAATCTATGTAGAAAATTCTAGAGGATCCTAGACTTTTGCAAACAAAAAATAGTTTTGTTGTACAACGACTTGAACATTTTTTTTACCACTCTTCCTTTAATAAAACCTTTGTTTATATTATGTAATATATACATTTTGAGAATACTTTTTTATTAAGTTTGAGAATAACATTTTTTATCAGGAGCTGGTTTCTACCTTATAAATTGCAACAGGTTTCCTAAATCATGTTAAGATATTTCTGAAAATCCGAAATCCGGATCTTAATATCCCTCGGTTCCGCATAAACGTCACTTGTTTTGGGGTGGACGTGTGCTTGGGCCGAGAACAACCGGCGCATCGACTGTCTGCTGACTTTCCGACCGTCACGTAACGCCAGGTCCAGGGACAACAAAAGCAACACAACACAAAACAACTGCAAACATATGACCACCAAAACAGGGTCTCAACTATATAGTATGCATATACTATGCACAGAAGTGTGTGCAGTTTAGCATGCGCCCGCTACAAATACATAAATTAAAATCGGTTTGCTGCTGCACCTGCAAAGCCAAATAGAGGGAAAATTAAATTGAATAAATAAATAACCGAATTTGAAGCCACACGACCTGTCTAATGACGTCACATGGAGCTATTAGCATTACACCCACGATCCACATGACATCTACTACAAAACATAAGTAGCCCCACAATTGCCGAAAATTAAAATGCGTAATAAAAAAGTGTGTGCGAAAAAAGTGTATTAAAACACAGTAGATATTTGCATTTTTAACTTTTCTAAAAATGAAAAAAATATAATTATATATAACTGATTACTTTAATGTTTTGGGGTTCTCAAGTATCAACTTTAAAACCATAAATCATTACGATTTCCAAAAGATCCTTTAATTAAAAATAATTTAATACTAAGTTGTCTTAATACTTTAAAGAAAGAAATGTGTACTTAACATTCTTGATTTCAAAACCATTTACCTAGGATTTTTTTAAAAGTGGAGTTCCTTACTTGAAAGATAGAAATACTCCTTGTTCTTCATTGAAAATAATTTCATTTTTAGATTAAGGTAAATTTTTACAAAACACCGTAGGCAGTGCCCACTGTATTGTAATTGTAAGTCCGCTCCCAAGTTTCTGCTTCTGTTTTATATGTTTTTTTTTTGGGCGTGTGCCGGGGGTCTAATCGGAATGGGAATGGAAATGGATGGAGGTGGAGAGGTGGAGGTGGATCGTTGTTGACACACACACGTGTGCGAGGCGAAGTACCCGAGAATATTGGACAAGATCGTCGTCTCGTCTCGAAAGGGAAGCCTTGTGCTCCATGCTGTTCGAGTTTATTTTTTGTTTTTTTTTCGTGAATTCTGCTTCTGCGTTTCTAGTATTTCTTGTCGCGCTTTTCAAGGTCCGCAGTTCCACAGTTTTAATGCCATTTTTCAGATTTCCGCAACGCCATTTAAATTGATGTGCGTATGTGTGAGATGTGCGGTGTTGTGTTGTTGTTTTCCCTGCTTTTCAGTTTTTGGCGTACGTGTTGCGCCCCAACGCCGGCTCAAAAAAAAAAAGAAAAAGTTATAAAAAGAAAAAAAACAGAACAACAGCGCAGCAGCAACATGTGAGAAGCCATAATATTATCTGCTGATGTTGGTTGCTATTTTAACCCTCTGAAATGGCAATTATTTAAGATAGTTTTTGAATATAAACCGAACAATATTTTATTTTAAAACGGACATTTTTAAAAATTATTTGGATAGTTCTTAATAGAAAATATATATTTATGAAGAGACTCAATATTTAACTAAATTTTCAAAAACAATAATTCTTAAATTGAAATTGAATTAAATTAATTAATTAATTAAATTTAAGTTTAAATTAAACACTTGATATAACTGGGAATTCCCAAACACAATGTTGCTTTATCAAACGTGATACAAATTCATCTTAATATTTCTGTTATATTTTAAGGAATATTACATTTTAATAATTGTTTTTTAAATAAATCAAAATTTAATTCGTTCTTTTTGGATTTTTATTTAATAGTTTACTTCAATTTTTAGATATTCTTTCATCAGTTTCCCATGGACATTTAAAGGGTTAATCAAGAGGGGTTGTTTACGTTTCGGGTTCACTAGTTTTTTTCTCAGTATGCGGATTTTGGCACGTCGACACACCGGCGACAGAGGCAGCGACGTCGACGTTGGCAGAGGAGTCGTGCTGCGCCTTTTACATAAAATGACATAAAATTTAATTGCGTCGTGCATTGGTGTGTGTGCCTGTGAGTTTTCCAGTTGCCTGCACCACCACAAAAAAAAAAAACAACAACAAAAACTAGAAAATAGCAGCGACTACGTGCCACTTGCAACGCATCCTTTTCCTCGGTGTTGTCGTAGGTTTTTGCCCCATGGCTTTTCCATTTTCCTAATTTATAAACAGTTTTCAATTTTTAAGTGGAAAACCCTTGGAAACTCTAGAACGCTCTTGAAGGTACTTTTATACACTTAGAAAATGTTGGAAAGAAAATAAAATTGATCTTAAATGAATGATCATAAATTAATTTCGTATAAAAGAGGGGACTAGTATCAATTTTATAAAATGAAAAAATATTTAAATTTAGGTGTCTTTAAACTTAAAAGAAACTATGAAAAAACTATCTTTTCATATCAAACCTTTAATTTTTTTGCGTGTAATAAATTGAATTACAGCTGATGGTCGCTTCTTATCAGCGACCTGCTTATAATGGCTGATAAAAACCCCAAAAACAATAGCAACACCGAAAAATAAAAATAACAACACATGACTTTCTGACCATCGCGGGTTACAAAACCCCGAAAGCTGGAGATAAAAGCCAGAGCCAGCCCAACTTTAATGTACAGATTAGGCCAGAAAGCAAATACGAAATGAAAATGAAAAGGGCAAACATAAAACAGATTTGGAAATTGGGAATTGGTTTTCGAAAATGTTCGGTAAATAAAAGGGGCCCCGAAAATTTGGCGGGTAAACAAGGCAATTGATTTCTGTTTACAGTTTGACAAGCACTTGGGAATTTGTATTTAATTTAACCAGTCAATTTTTGGTAAAACTAATAATAAATATTATTTAAATTATTTTTTTCTTATTGCAATATTCAATTAATTCTTAGAAAAATTACAAAAATAAATAAATAATTATAATTATTTTTTTAATTATTACTTTTTAAAAGATTAAATAAAAGATACTTTATCTTGAAGATATAACCCAAAAAACAATTGCAATTTCCTTTTCAAAATAAATCAAATTAAGGGCCAAAAATGGAAAGATTTATGCCGCTGCCATTCGCCTTCGGCGGTAATGATAAATTAATTAAATTAATCTTTTATTTATGACCAATAAACACACTTTTAGGGCTTGTGCAATTGACCTTCGACCGCAAACAGCATTCTGAAAAAGGGAAAGAAAACAAAAAACCAAAAACAACGTGGCCCAGAAAAACAAAAAAAAAACCAAAACAAAAACATGTGAAAAATCTAAACAAACACAAGAGGCATGTGAGTTTGAGTTTTTTTGGTGTAATCCACACCGGCATATAACATATAACCCTGATGTCGGCCGATTGAAAGCTCCTTAAGTGCCAAGTGGAGATCCATCACACTTAGAGAAAAATATCGTATTGGGTTTAATATAAGGTCGATTTACTAATAGTCCAGTTTTCATATCGTTTTAAATATTTCGCTTAATCACTTTAATTAATTCTTTGGGTTTTGTATAGATGGTTTTGGATATAGCAATGTTATAATAAAGCCATATTTTACCGTTTTGTTATTGTTTTTCCCCTTTTAATATTATATTATAATTCATTACACTAAAATATCAACAAAAATTACTTTAATTTTTCTAAAATCTAATAACCTTTTTATATTTATTTTTAAGTCCGTTTTTTTTTACCATAATATATTTTTATAACCCACTCATTTTTTTCTGTTCATAAACAACTTCCATTCAGCATAATTGTAAATTGCTTTTTTTTTGCTGCCGCCTGCTATTTTTAGCTGCCAAATAGAATTTTTTGCTTTATCGGGCTCCCAAGAAGAAGAGTACAAAAAAAGGGTAATTTTGTAACGACGACGTTGCCACCGGCACGTTAACACAAAAAATTGTGCGTAAACAAAATTGTAAAACAAAAAAAAAAGAGTAAACAACAACAAGCCATCAACATCAACAAACTTATCGCCAACTTAACACAAAAATTATAGGCATATTGATAGGGGGCGGATAAGTATATATATATATATATTTTGATAGGCCTTCTTGTATTTAGCAACCATTTATGTAATGTCCATTTGAAGGCATAAAATGAGGTTAGTTAAGTATTAATTAATATTTGAATGCGCGCCATTCACAGTGTTGTAAAGACGTTTACTTTTAGTAAGACGAGCTATCGATTAATTTTTAACTAGTCTATCGATCGTGCAAAAGTTTCAAATATTTAAATTAAATGGTACATAATTTTTAACCTAATATATTTTTCAATTATAATATTTTAAGTATATATAGTCAATAAAAGCGTCTTTCCAAAAAAGGGCCCAGTAACGTAAGTTACACAGAAATTGAAATTCTAATTAAATGTATATTTTTAATGGGCCCTAAAGCGAAATTTCTTGAATTTTTTATTTATTTCCCTTGAAATGTATAACTGTTCCATGTTTTTCTCACCTTGGACAGATAATATTCCTAAAATGTAAATGGGTCATACTTATTAATTACAGCCGGCGTTTGTTGCCTTTTGTCGTGCAAATTGTTCACAGATAAAATAAACTGAGTTCAAATTACCACGTAAGGTTGGATATAAAAGCGGAATGCATTTGTTGAAGGTTCCGAAAAAGTTGCAAAATGTCGGGCCACACGGTTTTAATATTATTCATATCCCTAGTGATCTATTGTTTGGCGGAGGAATACTGCAGGAAGGATCTCTGCCAAGGAATGCCCCATATAGCGTGTGTAAGATAAGATATTATAAAAAGGAACTACAAAATCAATTTATTATATGATATGATAAATGATATCATATCAATATGAATATAATTTCACTACATTTTTCTAGAAAATAACACTATAAACTTTAGTTCTATACATTTTGGTAATATTTTCTATAAATATAAATTTCCTATAAGTAGGAAAATCCCACCGGAGCCTTCGGTAGCGCGTGTCCCCCAAGTGTCACCGTCCGCGAACTCGATCAGGATCTTAAGAATATTCTTGTGAGGGACCACAACTTGGAGAGACAGAAGTGGGCCAGTGGCAAGGGGAAGTTTCCGAGGAGCGCCTGCAGAATGGAGACAGTGAAATGGGATGACGACTTGGCCAATTTGGCATTACTAAATGCAAAAACCTGCACAACGGAACATGATGCTTGTCATAATATCGGAAAGTATATGTATTCCGGCCAGAATATCTATTTGGTGACCTTTCAGCAATGCCCAAGAAGAAGACCGCAAATAGAAATAACAACTAGTGAACTTTTGCGGAATGCAACTAAATCTTGGGCAAGAGAAGAAAAGAACTTTGAATCCGATCATGACTTACAGAGTTTCCCCCTCCCCCAAATCGATAAAGAGTAAGTTTTTAATTTAATATACATATCGTTTTCTTATGTTATATCTATCTATTGAACTTTTTCAGACCGATTGGTCACTTGACCGTTGTGATCAATGAGAAAAGTAACGCCGTGGGCTGTGGCATAGTTACCTATATGATGCCGAATAACACTCGGGAATTTATTCTGACCTGTAACTACGCCTATACTAATTATCTTCACGGTACTGTCTACAGCCAATGCGAAAAGGCAGGCAGTCAGTGTCCCAACGGACTGAGCTCGCAGTATCCACCATTATGTGCCTAAATAAAATATGTTTCAAGAAAAAATATAATTTACATTCTGAGCTGTTTTCGAAAAATTCATTAAAGATGTACAAAATCTGGAACCCTAAATATTTTATTGCAACTTTTTTGCATTCGAATGGAAAATTTTTTAAAATTATTATTATTCGGTTTACGATAAAAAAAATACTTCAAAGGGTTTATAAGAATATTATCAACTATTTGAATAATACCATCTAAGAGGTTTTAAGAATACCATTGAAGATATGTATAAAAAGTCTTGATATTGCTACTTTTTTGCATTCGAATGGAATATATTTTTAATTACTATTATTCGATTTAGGATAAATAAAAAATTTTAAAGGGTTTATAAGAATATTATCCACTATTTAAATAATACTATCTAAGAGTTTTTGAGAATAACATTAAAGATATGTATAAAAAGTCTTGATTATGATTATGATTATTATCCCCTATTTAAATAATACTATCTAAGCTGTTTTGGGAATATCATTATAAATATATATCAAATAATGAATTTTAATGAATATTATCACCTATCTTAAAAATACTACCCACTAAAGATATAAAAAATCTTAACCTTTTGAGTATTTGAATTGAAAATATTTAAAATTATATTATTATTCGCATTATGACAAAGAAAGGTTGCTTTTGGTTAACATCACGAAAGATCACATGAATTTTTAGCTTGGGTGGCGAGATTTATGACATTTTCATATAATATTCTCTATTTTCTATTTGGAGACGAGGGTCTTGAAGACGGTGGGGCACTTGTGGGCCGGCAGGTGACGATAGCAGTACGTCTTGATGGCGTCCAAGTCAATATTCGCATCCGGCGATACAATGCAAATGACGCCCAGCCGATGGCCCCACAACTTATTCGGAATCCCTAGCACAGCCACATCGTTGATGTTCGGATGCGAGATGAGGACCTTTTTGATCTCGGAACCGTAAACCTTGTAGCCGCCGACGGTGAAGACATCGCTCGTCTTGCTGAGGAAGTAAAAGTGGCCATTCTGATAGGCGCAAATGTCGCCGGTCTTGAAGAAGACCGCCTCCTCCTCCGATTCCGTGGTTTCCATTGCCCTTTCCATTTGCCGACTATTGCTGGCCGACGACGAATTGCATACCAGATGCGAGCCGGCTATCTGAAGCTCACCAATCACCGTCTGGGCCAAGGACATATCGCCGCCGATATCCTCCACCTGGATGAGGCCATGATCCACAGTGCCGCCCATTTCGTTCTTGCAGGTTATCAATTCGGCGCCCTTGTTGCTGATCAAACGGGCTGTTACTCCTTTTAAGGGGGCACCCAAAGTGCCAGGACGATAATCATTACGGGCGGTAGAATTATGAGCTTCATCCAGCGGATGGCCCAGAACCAAACCCGTCTCCATCATCCCGTAGTACTCGTAGATATTCTGACCCGTGATCTCGCGCCATCGGTAGAAAACTGAATCGGGCAGCAGCGCAAAGGCGGTGGCCATCAGGCGGATCTTCTGCCGGCAATGATTCACAATGTACTCCACCATCCGCGAGTCCTTGGCGAACATCTTCTCGTACTCGGCAATCAGCCGCTTGTACACAATGGGCATGGCCAGAAAGAGGGTGACCCTCTGCTTCGATGGACTATTGATGCCGAGCAGGGCACTCCACGCGTTGTGCCCGTCGAACTTTTGCTGCAATATCACATTGCCGCCGACATTCAAGACGGCACCCAGGGCCGCGTGCATGCGATTCATGGAGAGAATCGGTAGCATACAGTCCGCTGGACTCAGACGCCAACTGGCGATGAGGCAGCGAACCTGGGCATCGATATTGCGATGGCTTAACAGCACCGGCTTGGGATTGTTCACCGCATTGGGCGTGTAGATCAGCATGGCCGGCGCCTTGGCATAGAAATCGCTGGGCAGGGTGCTCTCCGTAAGGATCACGCCTTGGGTTCCAACCAGTTGCTTGGCATACATCGAGGTGGAGGACACACTCTCCGCCGTCGGGACAAAGGCATGATCCAATATGATGGTCGCCGATTGCAATCCCTGCGAGAGTTCCTGAGCCAGTGGCTCAAACTCTGGAGTCGCTATCAGTAGCTTCGTTTTGCAGCTCGACGCCTGGCGACGCAGTTGATCTATCGCCTGGCACGATTCCAGGGGCACGGCCACCTGGCCGGAGATCCAGCAGCTCCACTGGATGGCCACCCACAGGGCGTTGTTCGAGCACAGGTATGTGACATTCGATAATGAGGCACTACCTGGAAAAATCGGAATATAACGTACCATTATAAATTTGCATACTCATTAACGGATTGATGTGAAAAATGGTATGGGCATAGATAAGGGCCTAATAAGTTAGAGTACCAAAAATTATGGGGATATTTTATAATTTACTACTTAAAATTTTATTATTATTAAAATCTTTAAACGATGCTTATGAATACTGGCATAAAGATAAGTAGAGACCTTATATAAACTAAGATACCAAGTTAGAAAGAAACAGTACCTTTAATATTTAATATAAAATATTATATCCTCGAATATTGTAAACTTTCGTAATCATTAACCGATCGTTATGAATATTGGTATATGGTTAGATAGTAGCCTAATAAACTAGAGTACCAAAAATAATAGGTATATCTCCTTCAAGACTTGTAATACTTAATACTTGATTACTTAAAATGTTATTACTATCAAAATATTTAACAGATCGATATGAATACTGGCATAAAGATAAGTAGAGACATTACATGAACTATGATATCAAGATAGAATGGATTAAGTGAAACAGTAGATACAAAATATAATTGTAAGATATTATATCAATATTATTTTATGATATTTAGGATTAATTATAGAAATCCAAGTTAGAGGTCTTGTAAACTTTTATATTCCCTTATGCTTACCGCATATATTTGAGATCTGGATGGCCAGACGCTTGGCGGCCAAGTACAGCTGGAAGTAGGTGTACTCCCCGGTGATGTCCTTCACGGCGATCTCATCGGGATAGAGCATGGCCTTCTTGAACGTGGGCACCACCAGATTGCTGCGCTCATCCTCATCGAAGCTGTGGCGCAGTTTCTCAATGAAGCCATCCTGAAAAGGAGGAATTTTTAAAACCAGTAAATCAGAAATATAATCATTACCTTGTGTATTAACTCCGCGGAGCAGAGACGAATCCAAGGACGCAGCTTTAGTTTGTGGCAACGTCGCAGTAGCAGCATTTTGTTTTTAATTTTTTTTTATATATTATTTTATTAAGTGGTGTAGGCGCGAAAACACTTAATTAGAGTAGTTGCTACGGAGAGCAGAATTTAGCTCCGATTTTCAGTTGCTATCGCTTGAAAAGCCAAAACGATTCTGAGGTTTTCCTCATGGCTTACTAGAAAATGGAAAAAGGAAACCCACTCGATTCGATTCGGTTTGATTTTGTTGGTCTTTATTTACACAATAATAGTTTGCAGACACAAAAAATAATAATTACAATAGTCGTCGGTAATCGGTAAACGTAAAGTAGGTAAAAAAAATGATGTATTCCGAAGTAAAATGTACGTCACAATTTTTCTTTTGGTATTTTTTTGTGTTCGTTTTCGTTGTTTATAATATTATTATCATTATTATTATATATTTTTTTGTTTGTGACCTTTGCATAATACTCAAAAATGTCGTTTACAACGATCCTGGCTTGAGAACTCGAACGTGCATGGGGTTCTAAATATCTTTTTTTTTTGGGCAATGAAAGGAGGTGCAATTGAAAAACAACACTTAGGAAAAACCTACTATATATTTACAGTCTAAGATCGAACAAAAAAAAGAGGAGATTTCGGGGATTATATGGCATTACACCGATTGTTCCTATGGCAGGCTATATGATTGATCATACAAAAACGTATAGGAATAACGATTCGAGGGCTTTATATGGCAGCAAAAACCTTGAGAGGACGGACGAATTAACGGAAACAAGTACAAAGTGTATCTAAAATCTAGTCTCTTTAAATATACTAAGACACATATATTTAACACAAATCGCATACACATTTTGTAACATTTTCGTTGCGTCCTTTTAGTTATTTTCCTTTTCTTTTTTTTTAGATTTTAAGTAAGAGCCGGGGGAAAAATATATGTTTCGAGTGCGTTTATCAAGTGGCGGGCAGTGCTGGCTAAAATTTAACAGTTTCACAATTAACAATACAATCACAGATTACGAATTTAACATAGTTAACGAAAAACAAATGCACAAAAAATTGAACGATTCGAATGGTTGGTTTTTTGGGCTGGTCGAAGGGAAGGTTAGATTGTGGGATATGGAGATTCGGGTTTGGATTTGATTTGTCTCGATTTTCAATATTTAATTATCGAATCGATATTGTGAAATTATCGAAAGTATCGATAAGCTCTACTTCCTTCCCTCGATTTCCAGCCTTTTTTCATTTTTTTTTCTTTGTTTGTTTTTTGTAGAACTGTAAGGCACTCGGCAGTCTCTTCTTTTTCACTTATACACTTAAAACTCAAAATGCGTTTTATTAAAATATTCAGAAAGTTAACTGGTTACTGTTTCTAATTTTCCAGTGATATACTGACCCTGAATCATCGGTATAAAAAATAAAGAAATATAGTCATGAAAGATGACTACTATGTTTATAAATTTGCTTTATCTCCACACAGTTCTTGGAAATGGATGGCTTAAAATTAGAAACAGTAACAGTGTTTTGGGAGAAATATAAAAACCTGATCTCCACCTTAAACCCCACTGCACCCGATTCGATCCCAGGATCCCTGGATCTTCTACACCCGCTTCGGTTTGCTGACGATCGTGTAGTTGAGCCCATTGTAGCTGCGATGATCGATGGCAGCCGTTTCGAGGCTGCTCTTGTTTGACGTGGCACTATTGCTGCTCCCTCCGCTGATGTTGCAATTCGAGATTCCTAAATTATTATTGTTCGTCGTGGTCGTTGTGCTGGCTTTTCTTAGCACTCCGTAGCCCAGATGACTATCGTCGGCCTTGCGGAAGCTCTCCGTATCGGGACTAGCGATCAGTTCGTATTCATTGGGCGGCGGCGGACTGCAGCGTCCGCGATTCGCGGGCAGTGTGACATTCACAATGGTCTTATAACCACTCGATGTCTTGTTGTTCGGCGAGAGAAAGTCCAGGCGATCGTAGTTGGATTCACTCAGCGATGTCGAGATGCCTTCGCCAATGTCGATGTCTATGATCTTGGGCGTGCAGGATTGGCGTACGAATTCCGAGTTATCGCAGAGTATGGGCGGCATCCGTTCGCAGTGCCTCACATCGCCCACGCCCCGCGTGCGCCACGCCTCGGTGATATTCTCGATGCACTCGTAGTCCCTTTCCGGCGGAGGAGCACCCATCTTGGCGACGCTCTCGTTGCGCAGCGGCAGATCGGGCGGCAGATCATCGGGCGATGGCTGGATTATTCCCGGCGATTCCGAGGAGGATCCCGATTCCAGCGGCTTGGCGGCATCGCAGGCGATGGCCGAGGGCGAGGATATCGTCGTTATGGCCACAGGCTCATACTTCACAATGCTCCTGTATTTATCACAATGTTGGCTTGTCGTCGGGCTGACTCCGCCCAGTTTGCGTGGCGGTTTGTTGGGAATGTGTTTGCTGCTGCTGCTGCTGCTGTTGTTAGCCTGGCTACTACTGCTATTTGCGGATGGTACGGTTAGGGTGATTCCTCCGGCGGGCGTAGCTGCCGCTCCAAAGTTATTCAGCGAATCGTTGGAGCTGATGAAGCCACGCAGGGAAATGCAACTTTGCGTCGAGTTGATCTCGAACTCGCCGCCATGCGGATTGCTCGAAGGCGACGGGGGAAGGGGACTTCGGGAGCCGGGTTCCATGCCAGCGGCGGCACTAAACTGATTCTCGCCGCACTCCAAAGTGGCCAGGCTGCTGTCGCCGCTAATCAGCTTCTTCATCGACTTCATCTTGGCGGACATGCAGCGGAATACCTCCTGCGGATTGGTGTGATCCAACGTGAAGACGCCCTCGCCGGTGGTGCACTTTCTGCCCGCCTCGAAGGTGAACTTGCCGTCGCGATAGCCGTACTTCCGGATGAACCGATACGGCCACATGGCTATGGTGGCCCCCAGATCCTCCGACTTCAGCTGCAGTTCGGTGGGCGTCATCTGGAGCATGTACGTCTTGGGCTCGATGCAGCAGCGGATGGAGGCCTCCGAGGGAATCAGTGTGATGATGAACAGGCCGTCCTGCAAGTATGATAAATTAATTTATTATTATACAATTAAATAAATATTTATTGGGATTTTCTTTTTAGAATTTTAGCCCCGTTGAATATATACTTTCTTAAAAAATGGAATTTAAATAAAAATGTAATTATAAATTTAGAATAAAAATATATATATTATTATTTATATAAAATATTTGATATATAATATATACATTGCAAATTTTATTTATAATTTTTACCCAGGTTCAATTAACACTTTTAATGGTTTTTAATTACCAAATCATAAAAATACCCCTTAACTTTGTTATGTTTAAATTTCTATCATTTTTTTTATTATAATAATAAAAATTCGAAAATACGACTTATTTTCGATTTTTATAATAACCATTTAAAAATAAGACTTATTTTCAATTTATATAATACAAATTGAAAAATAGGACTTAATTTTAATATTTATTATACAAATTTTAAAATAAGACTTATTTGCTTTTATTTTTTTTTAAATCAAATAATAATTATTATTTTGTAGTTTTTATATTAAAAATCATAATAATTACGATTCCTGGTATTATTCTACTCAAATTTCTTAGTTTTATCTGAAAAGTAGGCCTGGGTTTTCAGTTTTTATGGAACATACACATTTTAGAACCTTAATTTTTATACATTGACTACATTGATAAACATTTTCTGTGATATTAAGCCTGAAAAAAGCCACCCAACCAAAATCCAACGTTCTAAATAAGAGATGTCTGAGATAATGGAAACGCCTGATGGGGAAACCCCTGATAAAGAAACTCCTGATGAAGAAGCACCTGATGAGGAAGTCTTAGTAGAGCAAATCCCTGATGAAGAGTTACCCAATGAAGAAACCCTTGAAGAGGAAACCCCTAATGAGGAGACTTCTAGAGGGGATCTCGAGGAACTGGATCTCAAAGTGACGACCGAAGATGAGAGCACCGTGGCGACGGAGAGCAGTGCCGAAAGTAGCGTTCATTTCATCCACCAACTACCCTGCGACAGCCCCTTTCTCCTGGGCGCACCCTTTGACCTGCGGGTGGGAAACTTTGACGATGTGCTCCATCAGCTGAGCAACAGCGGCACGGATTTAACAGGTCGTCAGATTCCGCAAGTATCCGTCCAACAGATGGCGAAAAATCTCGATCCCGAGGAAACAGTTGGCCTGGCTTTGGATGAACTCTGGAGTGAGTCGATGGGTCCACCGCGTGTATTTATCCCCCAGCAGCTGCTGACTATGTTCAAGGAGAACGTTAGGCCCACTCTGATTGTGGTGGTCGAGGAGAAACAGTTCCATTGCCATGCCATGGTTCTCCAGGTGCTCTCCAGCTTCTTCCGACGTCCGAAATTCTCCACCTCGCACATCTTCCAGCTGCCCAGTTCGATGGTCAGCGCCCGTTCCTTTGTGGCCATGTATCGCTGGGCCCTGGAGCCATCGGAGCAAATGGGCCCGATTCTCCTGATGCAGGTTTTCCGAACCGCCAGGTTCTTTGGCTGCCAGGAGCTCGTCGCCAACTGTTGGATCGGCATCGATGAGGGCTCGCGGGTGCCGGATAGGGCACTCTGCATCTATATCTGCAGCCGGATGATGGGATTGCAGCTGGAGGAGGGCCTGTTGTCGCGATTGGGCAGCATCTTCCTGCAGTTCGTGGCGAGTAAGGAGTTTCTGGTCGTGGCTCCGGGAACAGTGAGGAGATTGCTGGGCTTGAACTCACTGGCTGTGAATACGGAACTGGAGGTGAGTGTTCTACGCAATGAAGCGGTTTTAATCCTCCTCCTTAGGTCTTTCTAGCCGCCATCCTTTGGCTGAACTACAAGTGGCCGCAGCGCAAGCACTTGGCCTTGAATATGATGCAGCCCATACGCTTCGACCTGATGCCCTTTATGTTCCTGTTCACGGTGGTCAGGGGCTTGGAGGATGGTCCGCCGGTTATGCGTATGCTGGTCAATGCTCCGGCATTCCGGAAGCGGGCACTCAGCATCCTGAATGATATGTAAGTTAGAGCTTAAATACATCACGGAAAAACGAATTTGATATGAAATAGGGTCTTTTTTACCTTGAAATAGGGTCATTTCTACCTTATTTCATATCAATAAAGAGCGGATATGATTAATGTCAATTTATGATTCAAAAATGTAAACTTGATATTTCATCATTTCATTTTAAAATACCAAATTCAGTATTTTTTGAACAAACATTGTAAAGTAAGATCAAAATTATATGAATAACTTGATCTGCTCATATCAATCTGATCTTTTGCCAATTATTTTTTCTGTGTGATAATCAAGTGTTAACTAATCCTTTGTTTAGCAAGGGATCGAGGACCAGGTATCAGGGACGGTACGGGGATAATGCCCGCACCTGGATCTACGACCGAAGGGCGCCCCATCATCACGGCTCCAAGTGCCGGCAGATGCAGTTCCTCAACTGGGACTCCTTTGTGCGTTATCTCACATGGCTGCAGTCCGCCGGTTCGAAGCACTGGCTCTCCCTACGCACCATCGACGATCCCGAAGTTAAGTGCTGTCCCATCGAGCGTCGCCGCTAATTTATGATATAAATTAAAAATTCCAGTGACTAGTGTCTCGTAATAAAGGCCTAAAGCTAATTTCATTTTGATAGTAAGCAGTGTGAAAGAGATTAATCTGGTTTATCAACTTTATCAGGGGATTTGGGGGCTCTATAAAACCAAAGTTCCTCGCTAATCTTGGGATATGTAACCAAAATAGATCTCCAAGTGACTTTATAATTTGTTAACTCAAAAAAATATATATAAAAACATAAGACAACCTATTCCCCTTTGATTTCGTACTTCTCAAGTGTATTATATCGACACACCCCAGTAAGTTTTCGCGCATAAAAGAGGTGGATCACTCACAAAGGAGCTGCAGTAGAGGTCGTTGTCCTCCTCGATGGCCCCGATTCCGCCCGACGGTGAGGTGTCCGGGAAGGCCACCGTTTGCAGGGCGGTGATCCAGTCCTTGAGGTCCTCCTCGCTGCTGGTGCTCAATGTGAGGGTCACATGATGCTTGACGATGTGGATGAGGCGATCGGGCGGCGGCTCCTGCGTGATCTTCACGCACTTCTCAAGGGTGAAGATCTTCGGGTTGCGGTCCTCCTTGCTCTCGCACATCTCCAGCCGGGCGATCCCATGGCGACTGGCCTTGAAGAGCAAACAGTAGCGACTGCATGCTTTCTGCAAAGGATTGCGATATGGATTAGATCGGTTTGGGTATATGAAAAGTAAAGGTATGGTAATATTTTAAAATAGGTATTTTTTATAAATTCATAAGTGAGTTGGATTTTCAAAAAAAAATTTTAATAGAAAAAAAAAAATTTTTTTCTAGTTCGATTTGGGATGATAAGATTGAAAAAATTGAGTTTTTAAGAACTTTTACGTGGAGTTTTTATAAATCTGTGTGAGAAATATGTATTTTAGCAAAATAATATAATCTAATAAATCCCAAATAATATGATATAACAATATACGACTGATCCTAACAATCTCAGACTGATATTATCATATCCCTAATGATTTTTAAGCTACATATGCATGAGTTCTGCAGAGATTCTGGCTTACATAATGGGCTAAGCCCCGGAGTACTCATCCACCCCCACTTCCCCCTGCCCATGCCCCTTCGGTGCGACCCCCTTTTCTCACCCTCTTCTCTTTTTCCTCAGTTTTCTGCTGGCTCAAGAATTTCCTGTCGCACATAAACACAAATACCATTAAATCGCATGAATCGCCAGCTGTGTGTGCCATCTGAAACTCCAACATTTGCGGTCAGAGTATTAGCACTCAATAAATTTAACTTTTTTTGCATTTGTAAGGTTGTTAAAAAGAAGGTGTTTTTGAAATTATATTTATTAAGCAAGAAAAATTTTAAATACTTTAAGTAGGTTTTTTTTTAAACTAAACTAAATTATTGAAATAAAAATTAAATATTAAAAAACAAAATAAATAATAAATGTCTGTTGCCTCTTAGTTGCTATCATTTTGACCGCCACTGTATGTTGTCGGCCCCTCTCTCGCTCTCTCCCTCTATCGCGTGTGCCCTCTCTCACTCCCACTCGCACAGTGGGCCTCATTTGTATGCAACAAGTATGCAGACACAAACACAAACACACAAAGTCCTGTTTGGTTTTATCGAAATCGAAAAACTGCGCACTTGTAGGAAAGGAGAATTCAAATAGAATCGCTGCATTTGAAGCTTTTCTAAGATATATTTACAAAAAATATGGAAATTGGCAAAATTTCTAGGCGGCTAGGTGAGTTTTCATACCTTTTTCGAGATGCGATTTAGCGAAAATCCAGTTTGGGTCGGCACATTAAGATATCCAGCCAAAACAGGTATTTCAACATCCATTCTGTGTGCACCACTCCTCCGCCTCTCTCCTGCCCACTCTCCTTCGTCTCCTGCTCTCGTTCCCTCTCCCTCGCTCTCCTGCGACGATCTTGCTCACACAATGCGCCTCCGATTCTCCGATATTCCGAATTGTTGTTGTTGTTGTTGCTGTTGGCGGAGTTTTAACTATGCGATTTCTGGAGTTTTCCTCCGTATTTCATCCGATCTTCTCGGGACTTTGATATAATATCGGCATTTAGTTTCAATCACTCACATCGGTATTTTCACAAACAAACAAACAGCGAGGAGCCCACATGTATGAGAAAGATACAAAATAAATGGGGTAAGGAAAACAAACAAGCTCGATCGTTCGTCGTTGATCGAAGAAATCGAAATGGGGCTCGGGCCCGCTTTAAACTCAATAAATCGATTGGTTTGTTCAATATTCCCCGATCGCCAAACACTTTCGGTTCAAAATCGGTGTGACGCGTCTGCTTTGCTTTGATTATTTTATTTTATTAAAATAAAAAACGACAAATATTCGTGTGACCAGGCGGAGTGTGGCCGTATAACGGGCGAAATACCGGCAAACAAAAGGTACTAAATACTAAATAAATACCAAAAATGTGTAGGAACTTGGGCACTTTTCAACACTGTTATGGTAGCCCTGGTTTTTTTAAATTAATTAAAATACAGATCGTTTCCTAAAAGTTAAGAAAAATGAATAATATTTATATTAATATGAGCACAGTTAATAAGTAATTATGATAATAATAATTCGAAATAAATCAGTCGGTCCGGCAACGCTATCTGATAATCATAAACTAAACGAATTGTTCAGGGATGCCATAGATATCATTTCAGCCTCAATTCCGCTAAAATTTTAGTTTATTTTCGCTGATTCCAAAGCTCTGACTATTTCTACTCACCGAATATCTTGTATAAACAATTAGTTTAAATTTAATTAAATTTTGGCGCCAAAAACCAAACTGGTATCTATCGATAAATACACGCAGCGTTGCCACCTTGTCCGTCCGCTGGCCAACAGCTGTTCTTCCGATAGGCCTCGCACACAAATTGGACACCCCTGGGATCTATCGATAACAACCCCGTTTTACCAAGTGCAAAAAGTAAAAATATAATTTTAATCAAAACAAAAGCGAATTTTTCGGAATTTTGGAGCATGGCCCACGACCGCGAGGTGTTGCGAATGATCTGGGAGGGCCAGATAGGCATCTGCTTCACGGCGGATCGGGACGAGATAGTGGGTATAAAGCCGGAGCCCTTCTATCTCATGATATCGCGACTGAGTTACTTGCCCTTGGTCACCGATAAGGTAAACAATGGTTTTTTAAGGGCTAAAACCTAGATCGTAATGATATATTTGTTCCTCCCGTTCAGGTTCGCAAGTACTTCTCCCGGTATATAAGCGCCGAACACCAGGATGGAGCCGTTTGGTTCGATTTCAATGGCACGCCCCTGCGCCTTCACTATCCAATTGGTGGGTTTTTTGAGATCTTAGATCATATCATAGTTTTCTTATTGATAAGTTATGGATTTACTTTTCCCCTTAGGTGTCCTGTACGATCTGCTGCATCCCGAGGAAGACAGCACGCCCTGGTGCCTCACCATCCACTTCTCCAAGTTCCCCGAGGGCACGCTCGTCAAGCTGAATTCCAAGTAATTATCGCTCTAAAATGCTTCACAAGTTTCGATTATAATATAACACATACTAAGACTGAGAAATTTTGAAAAAATTCAAATTTTTACCAAAAATTCAGATCCCAATTTTTCACAAAAAAATAATTAGTTTTTTGACCGTAACAATGGAAGTATTGGTCCAAATACGGATTGTCATACCTTTCTGAACTCGTTATTAAATTTCCAAGCGATTGGCATTAAAACCTGGACATTTTATTTTTTGGCCATTTTTCGTAAAAAATTATGAGGTACCCCCTTATGAAAAAATGTGAAAATTGGCGAAAATTTTATTTTTCCAAAATCACACGGAAAGTGTCATGGATTTATTTCTTATATTGTTATCTGTTCAAAACAGTTTGAATTTTTGCTGTAAGACCATTTTTAGCCAAGTTACAGCAAAAAAAACAAGAAGAAAAAATTCAAATTTTTACCAGAAACCCAGATTTCAATTTTTCACAAAAAAAAGGTTAGTTTTTTTACCGTAACAATCGAAGTATTGATCCAAATATGGATTGTCATACCTCTCTAAACTCGTTATTAAATTTCCAAACGATTGGCATTAAAACCAGTACATTGTATTATTGGCCATTTTAAAGTGGTTAATGATATTCAAGATTCATTAATTTATTAATCATTTCGAACTTTTGCAGGGAGCTTCTGGAGTCGCACTACATGTCCTGCCTGAAGGAGGCGGATGTGCTGAAGCACCGCGGCCTCGTGATTTCCGCGATGCAGAAGAAGGATCACAATCAATTGTGGCTGGGCCTCGTCAACGACAAGTTCGATCAGTTCTGGGCGGTAAATCGCAGGCTAATGGAGCCGTATGCCGAACAGGAGTCCTTCAAGCACATTCCCCTGCGAATCTACACGGACGATGTGAGTGAGAGAACGAGTACTTGGGATTAGGATCAGCTAAAATATATCCTCTTTTTATCCCCCATTATTGATAGGACTTTACGTACACCCAGAAACTGATTTCGCCGATCAGCGAGGGCGGACAAAAGAAGAGTCTGGCCGACCTGATGGCCGAATTATCGACACCTGTGCGCAAAGCGGGTGAGTTTAGCCCCTAGAAGCCTGGCTATCAATTACCGCAGGCACTCTAAACTCTAGAAAAAATATATGGGAAGGAGGAAAACTAAACGCAGAGTCTGAAAACGAGAAAACCCATTGTCTGCGCAGACGCAGCGTCTCTTGGAAATTAGGGAAAAGGTGCCAGTCAGTCTGGCATGGCCAAGTGCATGTCTATCTCTCGCTAGCTGCCTCTCTCTCTGCCCGCTGACTTATTTATTTTTCTATTGAATAACACAAACGAGCCGGGCACCGGCACTCTCCGGCAATCATTCTTCAATTCATCAATGTCCCGTCCGAACAAAAACCCAAAAAAGAAAAAAAAAATAACAAAATAAATAGAAGTAGAAAATAGATGGACAGATAGATGGAAAAGGAGATTCTCTTGGGCCGCAGAACAATGCCCCCGGGGTGGAAAAGCGACCCGGAGCGGATCGGGTCGGATCGGAACGGATCGCAGGTCTTTTTGGCCATCTCGCTTGCTCCTCGACCTCTGAAGACCTGGCCAAAAATGTGCCCTAGCCATTCAAAACAAAAACGAATGAAAAGTTCTTTGTCTGCGCCGGCTGGAAAATTGTCGACAATGAAAATGTGCGTGTGGATTTTCTGGGCAACAACAAAAGCGGCTGGAAAGGCAGCAACAGATGCAACAAAAATACAGCAGCAATTGAAAAAAAATATCCGAAAAACCATAAGCGATTTTAGCAATAATATTTGAAGAAAAATATTTGAAATTAAATAATCCGAAGTAAAATGATTTTATTAGCATCAAACTTAATTTAATACAAATTTTCAGCAATTTAAGTAAAAAAACTATTTTAAAAATATTTAAACTTAAAGAAAACGACAATAACAGCTACAAAAATATAAAATATTAAAATATTAGAAACTTAAAACCAGAAATAATATAAATAGCTTTAGAGTCTTAAGAATTACCTATGGAAACCAGCAACAATCAAAAAAGCATCAATAAGTAGATGCAACATCAAAGGAAACTCCAGCAACACCTATATAAATGTCTTAAGCAGACTTTTAAGTTGCAAAAGCAACATTATAATTTGAAACATTGGAATAGAAGGTGCAACATGAGCTGTAGAACCAGCAACATCATCTAAAACTTCCAGTAACACCTAACAAAAAGCTATGACAGACTTAAAAACCTACAACAGCAAAATTACCAACTGAAAGAGTTGCAATAGAAGGTGCAACATGAGCTGTAGAACCTGCAACATCTACTCAAACTACCATCAACCCCTAATAAAAAGCTAAAACAGACTTTTAAACTTACAACAGCAACATTACGATTGAAAAAGGAACCAATAGAAGGTGCAACATCAACAGAAACTCCCAGCAACACTTATATAAATAAATATAACAGACAAGTGCAACACTATTAACTGAAATAGAACCAATAGAAGGTGCAACATGAGCTGTACAACCTGCAACATCAACAAAAACCCCCACCAACACCTTAATAAATAGCTATGACAAACTTTCAACTTGCAACAGCAACATTACGATTGAGAAGAGAACCAATAGAAGGTGCAACATCAGCTGTAGAACCTGCAACATCAACGGAAACTCCCAGCACAAAACCTGCAACAGCAGGGCAGAGTAGAAAATGCCAAGCATTGCTGGTTGACCTGCGGCGCCGGCGACAAGAGCAGCACGAACCAGAGCGAGACGGCAGCAACAGAGAGAGAGATAGCAAACTAACAGAAGAGCGAGACGGGTAGAGAGACGGGCTGGCCAGCAGCAAACCTCCCACTCCAGTGGCTTAGGTGCAATAATAGCATTGGGAATTCCAAAGACGGACAAAAGGCGGAACTAAATACCTGCGGCTGGGATTTACGAATTATATTGTGAGGGTTCTTCTCTCTTTTTTTCGGGAACCACTTGGCCATCGCTATAGCTCTGTATAGCCCATAGTATAGCCAGTGCTTCGCTCGTCCATTCAGACACACCGAGCGAAGATCCCTACTGTGTTTTCGTGTGCACATGGTCCATATGTTTCGGGCAGGTTGGGTATTTCCCAGGTGTCCCGATCTTTGAGTTTCGTTTCGAGTCCTTTGGTTCCTACGATACCATATCATACTATACTATGCAGTATGGCACACTATGCACCCTAGTGCGCTCGGCCAAGGTGTGAAATCTTTATTTGCATGCTTATAGACGGCCTTCTCGGCACACCCGATGATCCCAAGGAATTTCCCATTCGAAAGGTGAGAGATTTCCGACGATCCTAAACAATTGCCAATGGATGTCGATGATCAACACGTATTTTCCCAAAGGTCATTCGGTGCTGTTTGTCCTTGGCGTAGAATTTGGATTGAGATTCGAAATCGGCAAGGATTCGGATTTGGATTCGGATCGCACGCCTGGATTAAGTGGGCAATCCACTAACATTTTGCTGGTTTCGCAAGATCCAGGATATAGAATGTTGCGTGTTTTGTCGGGATTTTCGGGTGGGCATTTAAAAACAGGTTGTGCTAGTGACTTTAGGGGATACCAAAAATGAATTAGGGGTCTTTATAATTGGGATCTATTAAAATTGTATTATTTAGTTTTGAAAATAAAAAAATAATAATATTAAAAATTCTATAATACATTAAAATGTTATAATTTAAGTTATAAAATAACACAGTGAATTATTTTTTATATAACATATTATAATTTATAACTAAATATTTGTTTCAAAAAATAATTCAAATTGGATTATGTTTAAGGTTTTTTTCTTTAGTAATTGTTTGCAATATACTAAGTATTTCGGTTTAAGTAATATCTAAAAGTTATTCCTAAAGCATCTTAATTTTATCCCATTTGTATCTTTAATTTCATAATTTTTTTTTGAGATACATTTTTAGCAATACCATACATACGATCTCATATGGCCCTCTTTCATATCCCCACAATTTCTCGATTTAACACCCTACCTCTTTCCTTTCCCCATTGAAGAATCTTTCGCATTTTTCGGAGTACACAGATCCGAATTGAAATCAAACAGAAATGCATTCAAAACATGATCAATTTGTTTCCCCCGGCTTCTTGGATGGTATTATATGGGATGGATGGATGGGGGAACCCGATAAAGAAGAAGAGGGGGCAGCGATGGTTTGGATAACGATTGCACGTATTTGTGGTGCGTGCATTTTCATAGAAAATCGTATTTAAATTGAAATGAAATTCAAATATACAATGCAGCCGGGTCTCTGAGTTTTCAGTCGGAACGTGGAAGGTTCAAAGTAGATGCGATTCCAAGAAATCAAAAAAAAAAAAAAATACAAAAAAAAGAAGACGAAAGAAGAAGCGGCAGAGGAAGAATCTAAGACGCGTCAAAAATAAAAGAAACGCATTTTGGCTTTGCCTTTGGCTCCTGCTCTTTCTCTCTCTCTCTCTCTCTTTGGCCAACCATCTCGCTCGCACTCATGTTGCTCCTTGTGCATTGGCATTCGCTTCATTTGTTGTTGCTGCTTTCATGATTTGCCGCCGGCAGCGACGCCGACTGCGCTGCCTTCGCCGGAAAGCAGCAACAATAAATGCAAGTGGCTTTCAGTGTTGCCAGGCTTTTAAAAGTTTACAAAAAAAAGTTGTCATAGAAGTTGATAAAAAAAATTTTTAAAAAAATCGTTATTTTCGATTTTATAAAAAATTTGGTTTTTGTATGGACTCTAATCACATTAATTTTACAACTATAATATCATTTAAAAATTCATATGACATATAGCAAGGACTTTTAATGCATTTTTCTGTAGAAAAGATTTTTGTTTATAAATAATAACTTCAAATTCCAAATTGAAATTAGTCTGAAAAAATTAAAGAATTCAATAGACTTTAGTTCGATTTAAACTCTAGTTAGACGTTGAAAGAAATGTCATTACAAACCTAAAAAGGAAATTATTTTCGATATAATTATAAAAATATTTCCTTATCCCATGATTTCTCTATTTAAAAGTGAATAATGGCTTAAAATTCCATGTTGATATTGGGCTGAAAAATTTAAGAATTTGTTGGAATTTAGTTTATTTTCGATTTGTCCCGTCCTGGGTGATTTTTGCTACTTTCCCTTGTTTTTGGTAGACCATTATAGACTACTTTAGATAGAGATATATATTTTTTTCCTGTGTATAAAAAGCTGTATTTAGCTTGAAAAAAGCCAAAGCTGGCTGAGCTATTACACTGAGAGCTCTGTGTGTGTGTGTTTGCATGTGTGGCATGCTGGCTGTGTTTGTGTTTGTATTTGTGTAGGGTGCTCTCGAATGTGTGAAAAGGAAGTTCTGAGATATCACCTCCGCTTATTTGTATTTACACCTTCGCCAGCACCTCGACCCCCGCCCCTCCTACTCTCATTCCTCCTCCCCCTCCCCCTGCCTCTTCGTCTTTATTTTTTTCCCTTACATTTCTGCCTTTTTTTCGCTGCACTCCAACGAAACTCCGGTGAAAACGGCGGCGCACGGAAATCGCACCTCAATATTTATCACTTTTGCCTCTCTCTCTCTCTCTCTTGCTCCTTAACCTGCCACCCCCACCCCCCCCGTTTTTGGCTCTCCCCCTCACTCGCTCTTTCGTCGGCGCATTTGCTTAGTCCCATTTCGACACATTTTCGTTTGCATTTCGTCAATCAGACAAACAATACAAATACCAATACAAATACAAATGCCAACCTGCAAAATGCAACCTGGACAATGTATCTGTGTGCGTGTGTGAGGTGTGCGTGCAGGTGTGTGTTTGTGTTTGTGCGACAATTGGCGGTGCCACGCCCCGCTTTTTGGGTGGGCTGCAGCTATGTGTGCATGTATTTGTGTGTTGATCTTCGCAGCATCATTATTTTAATTTACCTTTCCTCTTAACACCAGGTGATCATCAATCATACTTCATTTAAATGATCCCAAAATCCGAAACAAGATTTATCAGACTTTTTCAAAAAAGGTTCTTTAAAAAAATTTTAAAATTATTTGTATTCTTGTTTTTTTAACAATTATTCATTTTGCATATTTTTTATTATATTTATATTACGTGTTTATGATTATTCCCTTTACGTTTTTTACGACTTTTTATTAACCTTCATCCTTGAAATAAATCTTATAAATATTCATATATTTTTATAATTTTCAACAATCTATTCCCAATATATCCTTGAACTAAATCTTATAAATATCATTATTTTATTATTTTTTGTAATTATTAACGATCTGACAATCTATTCCCAATGTATACCTATTTTTTATGATATTTAAAAATTAATAATACTACAGAAATTATTAATATACCAATAAATCATATGCCGAAAGCAAGTTAACTTAGTTAACAGGTGTATTTCTTAATATATAAAATTACAACCTGAAACTAAAATGATCGATATGCATTATCGATACGATGGTGATACAATATTGCCAGAAGAATCACTTAAGAAGCCTTCGATATTCTGGCACTTCCTGCCACGCCCCCTCCTCCTCCTCCAACCCACTTAATTTTCCACTTTCCTGTTTGTTTGTTTCCTCTTGTCTGGTTGATCGCCCATAATCGGGTGCAATCTTCAATCTTCGGTGCAACAATCCCAACTGCACCGTCAACGAAATCGAAATCGAAATCCGATTTTATTTCTTTCGCTAAACATCCGCAATCCCTTCTTCCCCTTTGATCGTAATACCGCCCAACTTTGTAGCTGCGGATGAAAATAAACCGAAATTAAAATTGAACAAATTATGGGGCCCCAAAAAAAAAAAGAAGAGAAATGAAATGAAGAAAGACAGACAAACAAAAGCAGAAACAATTGATTAGCACTTTTCGATTTTGCACTCTTTTTTTTCTTTTTTTTTTAATGGCGTCACTGAACTGCAAAAATTGAGTTTTCCAAGTGCAATAATATAATCGTTTTTGGTTGGAACGTTTGGAATTATAGAACATTGATAGGGTTTGGGTTTTTTTTCATACTCTTTTCTTTAATGGCTTTATTGGAGCACAATCTATTAAGTGATTATGATGATGATTGGGGCGCCTTATCAGATCGATGAAGCGCTGTTATTTTTAGCCATGAGCTAGGCGATGTCGTACGTTCTCCGCCTCCCTCGTTTTTTCCACGTTGACGATAATAAAAATGGGATCAATAAATTTTCAGACTGTTTGGCGCCACTCTCGCTCTTTCCCTCTCTCTCCCTCTCTCTTTCTTGGGTAGGGGGCCCCACACACACACATTCGCATATCATCGAGATCAGAGGTATACACATATATATAATGCCTGTCTGCGGGTTTGTCCCCCATTTAATAGTTTATATCGTTCGGGTCGGTTTCCTATGCAAGATTTATGATCTATTTGGCGCTTTGAAGGTGTCTTTGTTTTCGGTTTCGGTTTTCGGAACTATAAAACCAGATATGCGGGGCTGGTCTTGAGTTTAATGTGGTTAGTTTGGGAATTTTAAACCAAAAATCAATAGATTTGTAATATTTTTAGATCTTTAATTTACATTTTTTATATAATAGTTATATATTTATAAATACCTTTTTGACAAATCGTTTAGCTCTAAAAGCCTAATGACTATATTAATCGCTTTCGTGCTATTATATTACCTAGTTATGACAACGGCCAATAAAATTTTTATTATATGTAGAATGATTGTGAATTGTAATCACTCGTTTAGCCAGCAGTCGAACTTTGGAACAATCCCATAGATTTACCTCCCTTCCATTTCCACTTAAAGCGGTTTTTATTTATTGCCTCGGTTTAGTACTTTCTAAATAATACCTGTCTTAATATTTAGTTTGTAAATATTTTGTAAAATAAACAGAATATTTTACAAAAGTATACCACTAACCCCTGAATTATTTCGAAATATTTTGTATACTTTGCAAAAGTATATAATCAACCCCTGAAAAACCACCTGAAATATCTATTTGTAAAATATTTTGTATATTTTGCGAAAGTATACCATCACCCCCTGAAAAACCACCTGAGTGGTGCCCCCCAATCGATTCGCTTCCCATATTTCCACTCGAGGCAATTGGATTCCGTTCATTTATTATTTTTGGGGTAGCGCCATTAGCTTGGTCATTAAACTCGTGACTTGCCCAACCGAAACGAAACGAAACGGATCGGATCGAAATGGAATGGAACGGTGTGAGTGGTGTAGTAGGTAGTATCGCTCTATAGAGCCATAGAGCTATGCGCCCTACTTGAACTCGCGCCCCGTTGCACAAATCTTATCGCCACCGCCTCCCACCGCCTGTAATCAGCCATTATCAGCCCATCCACTCGCACACACATTCCATATCTGGCGAGCATTATATGTATGTATATTATATATCAAGTGAGTGGCGGTATAAAGCCTCGATCGGGACGCTCGCCATAACCACCGGACGATTGGCAATCGCACGGCATCGAGAATTGGCGATCGGCAATCTATAATTACAATTTGTATGCTAAAATTAAAAATGACGAAATTTGTCACCCCGAAAAAACGGGGGGAAAAAAAGAACCAAAAACAAAATCAAGAATGGCATGAAAACACTTGTAGATAAGGCGCTAAACTCTGATTTCCAAGCAAGTCCAATTTTTGAAGAGCCCGCCTCCTCTTTTTTTTTTACCATAATCTTTATGGCCCGCAAATTGATCATGATCGTATAGGGCATATGGCAAATGGAAGCGAAAGCTTATCAGTCTGAAGTAATCGCTAGCTGATCTCATTCATTATAATATAGGTACTCGTATATGTAAACTATTCATTGGTTCTGTTTCTCATTAATGGAATATTGATAGCTGATCCTCTACTTTAATGGGTATACCACCTTAAATAATCTTTATTTGACTTCCGGTTTCCCAGTTTTTTGGGGCCTATATTATATAATATCATTTACTGATACCAAAAGTTAAAAGTCATTGTAAAATACTAGAAATAAAGTATATATCTTAAATGCAGCGGCATAACTCCTTTGAACTTTTCAATGATCTCATTAAGTTTTATAAAGATCGATTATATTTGTTTAGGACTTTTTGCCAGACTTTGCAAATGATCGATAATTGGATTAATTGTAGGTTGGTAATAGCTAACTTTTTTTTTTTATAACCACAAACAAAAATAGAAATAAACCCCCAATAATTCTAGGAAAAATAAATACATATTATAAGGTAGAGGATTACTTGTGGGCTTTGAGTTAAGGAGGGTTATGGTGGCCTATATGAAGTGCCCAATAGTAATACTCCGATATTCTTATTTCCCATTTCCAGTTGGATGTCGCACCCACGGCATCGATCTTCACGAGGAAACCCAGCTACAATGGATGTCCGAGCACCTGAGCTATCCCGACAACTTTCTGCATTTATCGGTGGACTACAAGGATGTTTAGCCCCCTGACTATATGTCTATATCCTATATATTTGCCCATATTTTCCATGTTTTGCCCAGTCCGCGTGTGCGTGTATGTGTGCGTTTGTGTTTGTTTCCATGTGTGTGTTTGTGAAAGCTGTATGTGTGTGTGCTGTTCTATTTTTCGATTCCAGCAAATCCCAGGGCGATCCTCAGCGATCGATTTACAGTCATACATACATATATACGCCTGAATGTATATATATAGAAATATACGTCTCTAGTTAAGCTAATCTGTATGTAATATTTATATGATATATGCCAGCATTTAAAAGAAGCGAGCAGCGCAAACCAAACGATTACTGGAACTACCCACTAACTAATAGATACCAACATACATTATAAATATACTTTTATACAGTTTTTTTTATTTCGGAATCCCTTCTGCAAATTTGATTTTTTCTAAGTTTTTATTTTCTTTATATTTTCTTATTATTTTTAAGTTTTTATTATTATCTGATACACTGAAATAACATCACGGAAGCCATTTTGTATTGACCTAATCAAAAATATATATACGAAAGTTATAAAAAAAAAATTGTTTTTTTAATGGTTCTTTAGTTCAACTTGGAAAGTTCAGGAAGATCGGTGGGTAGATCGTTCAAAACACCATGTACATCGATCATTTTCCATTGGAAACTTTTAAGCCGCCGGAAACTGGTCAAGCCCTGCACCAAAAATACACAAAAAAAAAGGTTATCAATTTCGGTCGCGATTTATCCGCCTGTCAAGATAGCGCCTGGAATCGTAAATTGGGTCTGGACTGTGCTGTAGACCTTACACAATATGTTTTTGGCCAACCCCGAAATCGGCGATCTATTTGTTTTCAGTGAATTTCCTTTATTTGAAGAGCATCGATTTGACACTGTCAGGCGTAAACACATAGTCATATATAGAGTCCTGATCTATAATTAGTTAACGCTTTTGCACCACTCGAGAATGATTTATTTGATTGTTATTTGTATCGTTTGTCTGGGCACGTTTGCCCCCGGCCATTCCAAAAATAAACAGCAAATCTGATAAAACGGACAAAAAGCCAAGCCAAATTAAAATCAATTTTCGTATGAATTATTAGGCCGAAATAGTAAGATTATCGGAAATCTGATGGATCCAACGAGCTGTGGCCGCAACATTGATGGATCCCTTGGTTAGTTGCTCTGTCAGCGATTCTGATTGATCAGGGATCTTAAGTCTTTTGGGTGCTTGATATTATTATTATACTATTTTGTATAAAAATATTGGAAATTTTCCCTTTGAGTTAATTTATTATAAATATTTTTTATAGATCACTAGAATTATTTTTCTTTAAAACAAGGGATCTTAAGTCTTTTAGGGAATTTTCTCCTTTGTGTTAATATATTATAAATATTTTTTATAGATCTCAAGAATTCTCTTTCTTTAAAATAATTTCGGTTATTTTCTTTAAAAAACTTCATTTTATGCCCTTACATCTTGTCATACCCATAGGATATATACAAAACGCGATCGATCGGTACAGTTCAGAAGCAAAAGAATTCATATAAGAGATTATGTCACGATTGTCGATCGGATCGCGCGAGATCCGTTCCTTTGATTACAACATCACACGGTGTGCGCAAAACTCGCTTGATCAATAACAAACTATATAAGAACGTATATATAGATATATAGAGACGATCGCCATCTGCAAAGGCACTCGAGACTCGAGATTCTGGTCTCGGGACTCAGGTGAATTTCTATTGCTTCTTCCCTTATTTACTTTGTAAAATTTCGCTGGCTGCAAATCAAAAAATATACTTACGTCCGAGCGATCGAAATTTGTCACGTGGCATCAGAACGGTAGCAAAAAAAAAATAAAAAAAGAAGAAACCCCAAAATTTTTGTGGTAAGGTAGATGAAAAAAAGGCGAGCAAAAGTTTACACGGCAACGCGGTTTCGAAGAAAACAACACGAAAATAAATCGAAATTTAGCAATCATCTGCGGTCGGGTCGTCGCTCCTCCCACAGTTTCCCGGTACGTTGGGTACCTGAGGGGCCCACCTCGAAATACCTATGGTTCCCCGATTTTTAGCTCTCCCTTCCCCTTTGCCACTTTTTTTTGGTGTCCCTGTTCTGTGGAAGTAACCAAGCTTTATTCCTTGTTACTTTGCCTTTATAAGTTAATATTTCTTATTTCATATCATATCATAATATATATCTTTTCAGTTCCCTGTTTCGGAATTTTTAGTTTCATTTATACATAGGTTCTTTGAAGCTTTTTTTCCTTTCTGAAGTTTCCTTTCGTTGTTTTCCTTTCGTTTTGGAGTAGTTGATCTTTTAAATCCTACGGAATCCGTATCCGATGCCCCGTTCTTATTCCTGGCCCTTCTCGCCCTGCCTCTTCCCTATTTTAACTTGAATACGTGGGAACGATCACCTGAACGATCAAATCGCATAGATGCCAACAGTTCCGATCTCGCACCACCATCCCTACCCTTTTCTACACAGAACAAAATTAATGTTATGTAAGTTCTTATAGACGGGAAAATAAGTTTACTTATTTTAGATGAATTTATAAAAGCAATAAATTTTATTGTTGATATTTTTAAAATATCTAATAGAATATCTAATAGAATATCTTTTGTATTTTTAAGTTTTTTGTTCATTCTATTAAGTTTTATGATCTTGGATGTATATTATTATGTTCTTATGGCAGAGTTCTGTAAAACAGAGGTATGTTTTCAGGTAATACTTGACTTCTGTGTATAAGTAGGTTATATTAGGATTTTAAATATTATTTTTCCAAAATCAAAAGGATAAAACAATTTACTATGAGAAATACATTTTTTTAGGACTAAAAAATATTTCTAATTTATAGAAAAAATCGCAATTCACTCAAAAACGTTCTTAAATTCAGGACTAATACTTTATTTAAGTGGGCATTCTTTTTTCCAGTGGATGACTAGGGTATCCCATGGGGTCTGCGATCACTGTGGGTAAACCGTCTATTTTGTCCGCAAATGTCGCAAAAATTCTTTGGCAGCGATCGGTGGGATTTGCTTTTTTATTTTTTTATTATTTTTTTTTTTTTTTGCTCTGCAGAAGGGAAAGCGCGTCAAGTGAAAAACAATGAGTATGCCGCTCTGTCTCGAGAACCGATCCCCAATCCAATCCAAACCGATCCGATACGATACGATGCGATAGCTGGCGGCGGTGGCGGTTGCGGTGGTGCTGATGTGGGGATGTGGATGTGGATGTGGATGTGATGTGGTGGTGCTGAATGCTGCGGCTCGGGGCTCGTGATTGGCGCACACATTGGCAAACGAGAGCACTTTATTTTTAAACGTTTTAAAAATACGATCATTATAGAATTTGCGGCTTAGTCATACCCCGCCGTCGAAATGTGCCAAGCGAATTTCGACCAGAAACCGAGAAGTTCGAGGGGCGGTGGGTGGTTGGGTGGTCCGTGGTTCGAAATGGAAAGCCCCAAAGCCTTAAGCCTTTTGCCCTGACTGACTGATAGAATGACTGACTGACTGACTGGCAGACTGACAACCCATGAGTTGTCACAATGAGGCACGCAAATGGCACATTCGTATGATCGCCGAGATCAAACGGCGATCGGTTCTATAAATGGGGCCTTAACCTCACCTCAGTCAGCTAAGAATTACCGAGCTGAAGGCAGCGAGATGTTTCTAGAATCTGTAGATTATGCTAATTGATTGGGGGTATTTGGAAAATAAATGAGAGAAAATCATTTCCGAATCCTTTGAAGATAATACCATTTTAAAAGAGGCTTTTTAACTATAGAAGATCTTTTCAGACTTTCATATTAAAATATTGAAATATTTTATTATATGATAAATAGTTTAGAATTTACTTCCGAATCCTTTAAAGCAAAGACCATTTCAAAAGAGAGTTCCTAACTCTTTAAGATCATCTTGCAATCCTTTTCCAATTCCTAGAGTTTCATATTGAAATATTTTTGCATATGATAGCTGAAATACCAAAATTATCATTTCGAATTTCCAAGGGATCTCGGAAGATCAGCAAATTAAAACCATCGAAAAGAGGATCATCCCGAAAAAGTTCCATCCATCTAAAAATCAATTCTTCCCTTGAAAGCCCCACCCAAATTCAATGATAAAACCAGTTCAATTTAAAGTTTTTTTAGTTTTCTGTTGTTAATTTAATCAATTCGTTTTCTTGTTGCTTTCTCTTGTTGTTGTTTATGGTCACACAATTATTGTTGTTGTTGTCAAATGTTATATATAAAAATACTGATTTTTATATATATATATATGTTTTTAGGTAAATATCTCTCTATGTATATGCGCTTTTATTTTAAATAGGTTCATTAAAGATTTCCCTTGGCAATGCACAAAAAAAAACGTTATTCTCTTGTTTGTATATAAATATATTGTATATATGTATATTGTATATAATTATAATTAACTTTTAGATTTAACCCTTAGATGTACATTTAATTTCTTGCTCTCCTTTGTGTTTTGTAAATATATATATATTCATTAAGCTTCAGTTTTCAACAATTTATTAAAAAATTTTGTTTTCTTATTTGTTTTGTTCATATCACAAGAATTTTCAATTTTCAATTTCCAAATAAAAACGGTGTGTGTGTGTGTATTTGTAAAGGTGTGTGTTTTGTTTTTAAAGCTTTACTCTTAACAATTTTCTCAGTTTTTCAAGTTGCATTTTTTCACATTTTTCTCTCTCTCTCTCGCTCTCTTACAAAATAAATTTAGCGTTGAAATTCTTAAGCAAATTCAAATGTTTCGCCTTGTTTTTGCTTTTCTTTTGTACACAATTATTTACACATAAAAAAAAAGAAAAACCTAAACTTAAGCTTAATTTGTTCTTAATAGCTAACCAAAAAAAAAAAAAGAAATGTTATCTAAACCTAGGGTTTTGTGTGGGGGCTTTTTTTGCTGATATGCTTGGAAGATATATGTTTTTTTTCGCTTAGATCTAAGGATTTGTAAGGTAAGTTTTAAGGCTAGGAAAAAAAAACTCTCATTCATAGGCTTAAATATGGCTTAGGGAACTAAAAGGCCAGGCCCAGTGACTGCCGTTAAAACATCCGATTGGTGGGATTGCTGCTTCCTTAGTTGCTACTTGTATGTTGTGTGTTCTTAGGCCACCAGGGTCAGGTTTGTGGGCGCCGAATCCGCCAGGATCCTGGACTCCTGATCCAGCCAGCGCTGCAGGTGTTGCTGATGTTGCAGGTGATGTTGCTGCTGCTGTTGCTGCTGCTGTTGCATGTACATCAGATTGTCGTTGTAGACGGCATGCAGCTGGAGATTGAGGCTGTAGCTGCTGCCGCTGTCGCTGTAGGTGGAGGAGCTGCTCTCGTAGCCGGAAACGGGCGATCCTTTGGGGCAGCAGAAGCCGGTGGGCGAGAGGGCGGGCGCCGAGAAGGGGCTAAGGGGCGTGGCTGCCTGATTAGGACTCCCCCCGGCAATGACGGGAAATGTCTGCTGAATCCCGGTGGGGCATTGAAAGCTGCTGCTTCCGGGCGATAGACAGCCACCGGGATACGGATGATTGCTCCAGATGATCGGCTCCCGCTGCTCGCCGATCTTCTTCTTGTGGCGTCGCAGCTGCTTCTTCTTGTTGTCCAGCTCATCATCATCCTCATCGGAGTCGTCCTTGTCGGCATGCTCTGATGAATCCTCCTCGCCGCCAGCGCCCTCATCCAAATCCTCCTGCTCCTCCTGCTGGTTCTCCTCGTCGTCGTCCAGCAAATAGGGCTTGAATAGCTTGACCTGCTTGGAGGGCACCTTATGCTCCTCCGGCTGCTCCGTCTCCACATCCACCTCTACATCCTCGTTCTCGGTTTCCGGCTCCTTCTTGATCTGCTCCTCCTCCTCCTGCATCTCCAGCTTGCTCATCTTGTCGGGTTGCATGGGACTAGTGATGACCTTGCGCTTGCGGAAGGTGAGATCCACGCCGGAGGGATCGGCAACCTTCTCGTTCAGCTGCATTTGACGGCGGGCGGAGGAGCCGAGGGAGAGGTCCATGGGCGCGGGCGTGGCCACCGCCTCCAGAAAGTGGGGATGTTGGTGGTGGTGATGATGATAGGCGGCATAGGGCATGTGTGGAATGTGACTGGCTGAGGAGGAGGAGGAGGAGGAGGCAGAGGTGGTGGTGGTGCTAGTGGTGGATCCACCTGCAGGCGGGGATCCGCTCAGGATTGGCACTTGAATTGGCACTTGGTTGCTGTTGTTGCTGTTGCAATTGCTGTTGCTGTTGCTGCTGCCGTTGCAACTGCTGCCGTTGCTGCTGCTGCTGCTGGCGGGGATTGCTGCTGCTGCTGTTGCGGCGGCAACCACAGCGGCTATTTTGGCGGCCGAAAGATTGCTGCCATTCGAAGTGGCCTCCGATTGTTGCTGCTGTTGCTCCTGCTGTTGCAAGTGCTGCTGCTGCTGTTGCTGCTGCGGATGCATTGCCACCGGGACATGCAGATGGGGATGGGCGGCCAGGGGATGCGGCACCATGCCGTTCGCCGCCAACAGATGATGGGCGGCATGATGGTGGGCCGCTGCTGCTGCTGCTGCCGCCGCTGCTGCCGCCGCCGCTGCCGCCGCATGATGGTGATGGGCGGCATGGTGGTGGTGATGGTGGTGATGACCCACCGCATGATGATGATGCAACTGATGCACCAGCGGATGGCTCAGCTGATGGAACACCTTGACCGCCGCCGGAGTGGGCGATGCAGATTGCTGGGGGAGAAGTTGCTGCTGCTGTTGCTGCTGTTGCTGCTGCTGCTGCTGCTGTTGCTGCTGCTGCTGCTGATTGTTGGCCACCGAGGAGCGGAGATTGGACTCGCATTGCAGCCACTTCTGGATTTGCCGGCGGTGAATGTTGTACTTCCTGGCCGTCGCCCTCTGGTTGCCCTTGCAATCGTTGTCGTTGCGATACGATTCCAGAACCTGCAGCTTGAAATGGGGCGTGAAGATCCGGCGACTGCCCATTTTGGGGCTGCCCGAAGAGTTGCTTGTAGAATTGCTCGCCGCATTCTCCGCAGAATCCTTGGGCCGCTTGAAATTCAAAGCTCCCGCGGCTCCGTTCAACTGTTCGCTGCTATCCATGATCGTCTTTTTTTCAAGATCTCTTTTCTTATAAAGTGTGTATAGAATTTGCTTCCTTTTTTTTGGCAACAAATAAAAAATAGAGTGTGTGGTGCGGTGTTTTTTGTAGAGTTTTTTTCAGTAGCTTTTGTTGTTGCTACTTGCGTGCGACGCTTGCGCTTTCATAACTCGCGATCTGGCAGCTCTGTCCCCAAAGCAGCGACGTCGACTGCGCACACACACACACACGGGCACTCGCGCGCACAAACACACACAGATACTTTTGGAGTTTTATATATTGTAAAAAATGGGAAAAGCACTTTGAAAATCCGTTTGAAATATGTATTTCGAGAGTGTGGCGCAGAAAAACACTGTTAAAAAAATAACGTTCTTTTCTTTCTTCTACTCCTCTTTGCCTCTGTTTTCTGTCGATTCTGAATTCGAATTCTGTTGCTTCTACTACTTCGTACGCTTTGCTACGCTCTTCTCATAACTCTCGCGCTTGCGATCCGCACGGCAAGGAATCCAAAACACAATTGTTCTGCCCTCGGCGTTCTAGTTCGAAGATACGTTCTAGACTGCTGCCGCTGCGTCGCTGCCGGCGCCGACGTCGACTGCGCGCGCGAGTTCACTCACTCACACATACGTAAAGTGCCTGCCTGTCTGCTGCCGCCGCTGTTGTTGTTTCTGCTTTTGCCGTGCCCGTGCCTTCGTGTGGGTGTTCGTGTGCGTGCACGGTGGAGATGCAGAGAGAGAGAACAGAAACCGAACGGGTGAGAGAGAGCGAGAGAGAGACCAACAACAAGAACAACGCATGGCGCTGAGGCATTGAGCACTGCAGACAAACTGACGACAATCATGTCGCGAGGTGTCTGCCTTTGCATGTGTGCATCTCGCACGCGAGTGCGAGCGGGATGGCCACATACCCGTTTTGCTTTGCTGTGCGGTGTGCACGGTGGGACCGAATGGACAACAGGGGACGGAACAATCCCCCTCCCCCCACACACTTTTCGATTGCGGAGCCACTGCCACAGTCACCCGACGACTGACTAACTGACAAACACCGCCAACGGCACAGTGGGGCAAAGGGGTAGTGTTTTTGGGTTTTATTTAAAAAATAAATTCAATTTTATTTTGCAAAAAATGTGTGTTTAATGTTAGGTGATATACTTATTTTGCACTTGTAGTTTTTTCTATGTTGTTCAGAAGCTAAAAACTAGTGAAGACAAATAAATAAAAACAGGTGAATGAGGTATTTGACTAAATACAATCTTTCTATTGCTTTACTAGAGCAAGATGAAAAGTAACTACTTTATTTAGCCCATCATATTAAGCAGTATTAATTAAATGCACCAGAAAATATTTTTGCTTTATAATTATCAAATATTTAACTTAATAATGTTGTCCTTTTAGATAAGTATAAGTAAATAAAAAGTTGATTAGTTAATTTCTATGAAAATAAATAGTATGACAAAAGCAATAAAGTACTACTAATTTCTTAAGCTTTTGGGTGATAACCAAATATTGTTTTTATGGAAAGCTTTAAATTAGGAGTAAAAATGTCAATTTTGTAGGCGTAAAAAAATGCATAATTTAAGCTTTAATTTAAAGCTTCTTTTAGGAAATTCTTTTTTTTTAATATTAAATTCCAATAACTTAATATGAAATTTTAAATATTTATATGGTCACTTTTTGCCCCACTGTGCTGCGACTTTCGTTAGCGGCTGCGGTTGCTGTTGCCGTTGTTGTTTTTTTTCTGTTTCTGGCTGCGCTACAAATTCGCTGGCTCTGCCAGTTGCTCACACAGATACACCGACACGAAGGCAGCCGCAAGTGGTGTGAGTGTGCGCCAGAGTCGTGGCTGCCAGACATTCTGGCACTGCCACTCCACACGCCCCCCTGCCCCGCCGCCAGTCCCCCCACCCCTTTTGACCCACACCCCTGTGCCGACGCCCCCTGCCACCACACACATACACTCACACACTCGGGCGACGCAACAGATCGCTGAACGAACTTGTTGAGCGCCGCTCTCTCGCTCTCTCTTGAATCAACTGTTGAATGCATTGCTGCATTTTTTATATTTTTACACCAACACACAGGCGAAGAGAGGTTTCCAACTATCTTGGTTTTTTTTTTATTCGTTGTTATGGCCGTGGGTGCATATATACTATAAAATAAATATATATATATAGATAGCTTTAGCTTATTTCTGTCGACGTTGCCGCCGTTCTGTCTAAGCTTAAAAAATAGGAATACAACAACTAGAAATGACAAAAAGGGCATGCAATAAGTGCAACTAAAAGAAGCACTTGTTGCAAATGACAAACGAAAATGCTGCCTCTTCTTCTTCTACTTCAGCAGCTTCAGCTCCATCTTCGTCTTCTTCTTCTTCTGCTTTCCTGCTTCGGCAAAATCTGGAATTCATGAATGAAACACACACACACCGGCGCACACCTCGCTCTCTTTCGCTATTTGCATGCGTCGGTCGCCATGTGTGTGTGTGCTTTTGTCGGCGACAGTGGGCTGCTTGGCTTGCGTGTGTATGCAAATTTATGATAAATAAAAAATAAATAAAAAACATAAAACAAATCAAATATATATGGTGTTGTTGTCGAGCATCAATTTGCGCGTGCGATATGGCAAGATAAAGTGCGAAAGGGATGGGGAGAGCGAGAGAGATCTTGGAGTCACCTAGCTCTGAAAAAAACAAAACCAACAAAAACCAAAAGCAATAATGATAGATCTCTGGGGTCCAGATTCCCACGTCGCTGCTGCTGCTGCCCCGCCCCACTGTACCCAAACCGATTCCCCCGCCCCCTCGCTGCACCCACGAATTGAAAAGCGACGACGGACTGTCTGGAAAGATCAAGGAAGCGGGAAAGGGACGGCAACACAAGATGGAGCCTGCGAAGCGCCTGCACACGAAAAAAAACACAAAATGCGGAGAAAAATAACAAGATGCACTGACAAAAAAAGAATTGGAAATCTGAAAAAAAAAACTTCTTACATTTTAAGCATTAAAAAGAAGGCCAAACCAAGTAAACTTAAGAAAATAACTTAAAAAAAAGTTTTTTTAGAGGCTAAAAAAGTACAAATATTAAATACGAGTTTTATATTTAATTAAAAATAAATTGAATTATATAAAAACAAGCCAAATGAGCGAAAAACAAACTTTTCATTGACATATTTTTAAAAAAATGTGAACAAAAATTTAAAAAAAAAACCCTTTAAAAAAGGCGAGAGAAATACATTTTTGAATTGCATTTCCAAGTAAAGCGGCCACAAACAACCCAAAAATATGCCGAAAAACGCACACACACTCGTACCAAAAATTCAACCGACAAAAAAGTTCAAAAGCAACAGACACACACACACACCGGCATAAAAAATCAAAAGAATTCCACTTTTTTTTTTATTTAGACCCCGTCGGCTTCTAAATCGATTTATCAAAAACAAAACAAAAAAAGAAGCGGAAAAGACGAAGGCAAAGAGATAAAAATTGAATATAAAAAGGTAACGTAAAAATCGAAGAAACCCATACACACATACTCCCATACTCCATACCCATGAATTGATTAAAAAGTTGAGAAAAAAAAGAAGTATAAAAAATTGGGAAAGGGAAAGGGCGCGGCAGCCGACGAAAAAGGAGGAGGAGGAGAAGGAGAAGGAGGAGAACGACGTGCTGGGGCACTTATGATCTCCAATCTTCAAGGGAAGGGGGAAGACAGGGCGAAGGAAGGAGAGGAGTGGGAGGAGGAAGAGGAGTTGCTTTTTTTCAACGACGCTGCTGCCGCCGCGCTGTCTGCGTTTGAATAAGCCCACACAAACAAACAAACCAAAAGAGACACACGGAGAGAAGAAAGACCAAAGACTGAAGAATCGCAAGATGGAGCCCCCAAGTAGAAGAAAAACAAATGCCAGGATACACTCAGTGCCCCGAAAAGGAAAAGATTCCAAAAGTGAAACCCATCAAGATCATCTGATGATACATTTCCAGGATTCGAACCCTATAAAATTCCAAGGTTCCAAGACACTTTCAAAAGAAATCTATAAGATGTAGTTCTTCCAGAATAATCTCACGAATCCAAGACACTCCCCAAAGAAATCCTGCGAATCCATCAACTTACCATTAATATATCAACCTATAAGATATAGATACAAACCCTATGAGACGTAGTTCTTCCAGGATACTCTCGCGATTCCAAGACACTTCTTTGCGAAATCCTGTGATAAGAAGAAATAGAATCAACTTACCATTAGATATCAACCTATAAGATATCGATCCTTTAATTATGACAATACCATAACTCATGATATAACCAAGAAAACCTAAAAATTATAATAACAAAAAAAAACAGGAAATTCCTCAGCTATGAAAACAGGCATGCTCATTTAGCCTATGACTAAACCCCAGGAGAACAGACATATAGGTATACGGAACGTATACATATGAGCCTTATCAGGCGATAAGATCAAACAAAGGCGATTCAAGTGCCAAGTTCTATTTGTCGGCCAATAAAAGTCGATTCTGTAAACAATTTTCGACGGAATGGGGCTCGAGCAATTACAAAGTGCACTATATAGTGGCATGGCGTGCACAATCTGAATCGTGAATATACTCCTCTATATACATATGTGTTATATGCGCCCGCACACTCATATCGGCACTATCTATCTGAACACGTAGTGCCCCCAGGTTATCGGTTGGGGGCCCCTGCTGCAATCTCTTTGCCACTGACCACTCTGGTATCTTTATGGGGCTGGGGCTGGGGCTTTGGGGTACGTCACCCCTCGAATAAGCCCTATTTGTTTGTGCGCCCCCCCACCGATCCACGTGGGTCGATCACGTTTCGGGCGGCGAACAAAAACTAGATCCAGGAAAACATTATACGAGCGGTAAATTATATCAGTTGAAGGCCTAAATGATATAGTACGTATGAACAGTTATTTGTAGTCAAAGTGCTGGTTCCACTCTTGTTTTAGCACCGATATGCCCGACCGATTTTGACTATATCACGTCTCGTGTACATTTTAGATTAATTCATATCGAATTGTTTGTGGCTCAACAAACTAAATATACGATCTTAAGCATAGAGCTTATCTTAAGCAGAAGATTCTTTATTTTAGTTATTATTAAATATTTTAGGCAATCTGAAAAGTATTATTTTATTGGAAACCTTTTCAAGGAGTTCTGTTAACACTTTCAGGATATATTACGATCTGGTATATCTTTTCAAATAACTTAATGTTTATTCTTTATAAATAAGACGAATTTCCTTTGAATGACGCCTGCCTTTTCCGATTTTCTGGTTCATTATTTTGCTGGGCTACTGGGAATGTGTGAAATATCCATTTTCAGTTGAAACCTTTTCTTCCCTTTCTCAAAGTTCTGGTGCTTGCCCAATCTTAACGACTACCAATGGCAGCATTAAGGATCGTTCGCTGCACGATCGTTTCTACCCCAACCATGCCCCATACCCCATCATCCTCTTCCGATTCCCAATTCCCGATTCTCGATTCTCGAAGAATCGACTCGCAAGTCCGATTCCAGGTAACT